TGGCCATACTTAAATAAGTTGCCATATTTCTCTGGTTTTTGAAGACATTAATAGAGTATTTGCCTTTGTACCATTTAAAGTGTTTTTAAATCATGGTTTAACTGTTTTATCATGCAGCTCACACGCAGTATCGTCATACTAGAGCTTGGAAAATAACATGCAGTGTATTTCATTGGTTTTCTATCTGCAATTTTTTTGCCAATAGTGTGAAAAGTCAGTTTATTATTTTTAATTTTATGTTATTTTCTGCAGTGAATAATTTCTGTACTGCAGGCTGTTCATGACCAGTGAATACTCACAACTTGCAGTAGATGGCAATTCTTTCTAATTGGGTAGTAACATCAGTTAATATATTTTCCTGAATGGATCATACCATTTCATCAGTTTTGTCATTTGGCAAACCAACCAATCCAACTTTCAAGTCTTATCAGTATATAGAGGAAATGAAGGCGAAAAATAAATTTTAGAATTACAAGCAAAATAAAAAATATACATACAAGACTTCAGAAGGAGAATGAACCAGAAAACAAGTAACTAAGTGAGAAATAAAAGAGTAGAAGCAAGTGAAGTCAATGGCTAGAGGCAAGTTTTCAGTTACAGGATGTACTTGTCATTGAGATGTAGAAACGGCCTGACACAAACCCCATAAAGTTCAAGCAAGTTCCGTAAGTACAAAATCCTGAACTGGGGATGGAATGATTGTATGTACCAGCACTGGCTGGGGGCTGAGAAACTGGTAGGGGCGTCTAGGTATGGGTGTCTAATTTCTGCCTTCAGCTGCCTAAGGGATGAATTACAGACCAGTCAGTCTCACCTCTGTGCCTGGCAAAATCTTGGAGCAGATTCTCCTGGAAGGCATGCTAAGGCACATGAAAAACAACAAGGTGTTTGGTGACAGCCAGCATGGCTTCACTAAGGGGAAATCCTGCCTGTACCAATTTGGTGGTCTTCTATGATGGGGCTACACAACTGATGGACAGGGGTAGAGCAGTTGATGTCATCTACCTGGACTTGTACAAAGCGTTCGACACTGTCCCACATGACATCCTTGTCTCTAAATTGGAGAGACATCAATTTGATAGGTGGACCACTCGGTGGATAAAGAACTGGCTGGATGGCCGCACACAAAGAGTTGTGGTCAATGGCTCAATGTCCAGCTGGAGACCAGTAATGAGTGGCATCCCTCAAGGATCGGTGTTGGGGTCGGTCTTGTTTAACATCTTCATCACTGACATGGAGAGTGGGATTGAGCGTGCCTTCAGCAAGTTTGCCAATGACACCAAGCTGTGTGGTTCGGTTGATACCCTGGAGGGAAGGAATGCCATCCAGAGGGACCTTGACACGCTTGTGAGGTGGGCTGATGCCAACCTCATGAGGTTTAACCATGGCAAGTGCAAGTTCCTACACCTGGGTCAGAGCAATCCCAGGCACAGCTACAGGTTGGGCAGAGAAGAGATTCAGAGCAGCCCTGTGGAGAAGGGCTTGGAGGTGTTAACTGATGAGAAGCTCAACATGAGCCAGCAGTGTGCGCTCGCAGCCCAGAAAGCCAACCGTATCCTGGGCTACATCAAAAGGAGCGTGACCAGCAGGTCGAAGGAGGTGATCCTGCCCCTCTACTCTGCTCTCGTGAGACCTCACCTGGAGTATTGTGTGCAGTTCTGGTGTCCTCAACATCAAAAGGACATGGAACTGTTGGAACAAGTCCAGAGAAGGGCCACGAGGATGATCAGGGCACTGGACTACCTCCCATATGAAGAGAGGCTGAGGAAGTTGGGGCTGTTCAGCCTGGAGAAGAGAAGGCTGCATGGAAACCTCATAGCAGCCTTCCAGTATCTGAAGGGGGCCTATAGGGATGCTGGGCAGGGACTCTTCATTAGGGACTGTAGTGACAGGGCAAGGGGTAACGGGTTAAAACTTAAACAGGGGAAGTTTAGATTGGATATAAGGAGGAAATTCTTTCCTGTTAGGGTGGTGAGGCACTGGAATAGGTTGCCCAGGGAGGTTGTGAATGCTTCAACCCTGGCAGTGTTCAAGGCCAGGTTGGACGAGGCCCTGGGTGATATGATTTAGTGTGAGGTGTCCCTGCCCACGGCAGGGGTGTTGGAACTAGATGATCTTAAGGTCCTTTCCAACCCTAACGATTCTATGATTCTATGATTGTAGAAAAGATGAAGCCAGACTCTTCTCAGAATTGCATAGTGAAAGCCCAAGAAGCAATAAACACAAATTGCAGCAACTGAAATTGCAATAAAACAGAAGGAAAGAAAAAAAAAAATCACTATGCAGGTAGTCAATGCTGGAACAGGTGGTTTTTCCCCTTTGAGGTAATGAGATCTTGCTTGGGCGTGGCCCTGAACAGCCTCATCTAATTTCAGTTAGTCCTGGCTGGAGCAGTACCATCACCTTGTTACCAGCTAGAATTGTTTAGCAAATGAGTTCATTTTTGGAGTCCCAAATTCAGCTGGAGACTACCCATACTGTTATTATGTCCTTGGCCAGAGTGTAATCAATATGTATGAGTGCATGTACGACTTCACTCTCACATGCTAGTGCTAGAAAAAGAACTGAACTGTAAATGTCCACAACTTTCACTTCTCTGGTGAATCAATTCACCATTAGGGCATAAATTCAGAATTTCAAAATGCGGTGACATCTTTGAGTAATAGTGTTGTATCTTTTACTAGAGATATACAATGTCAATGATACAACTAGTTAAATTATGCAAAATATGATAAAAGAATCCAAAATCCATCTGTGCAAAACTCCTCAGATTTGTAATAGAAAATGACCTATTAGGAATAAGACTAGTATTGTTTCATTCAGCATGGATGATTGCAGTGATACAGCCTTGGCTAGCCTCCAGATATCCACCCTGCCTTTTCTTCACTTTCCACTCCTTCCCAGAACAGGAGAGAAAACAGGAAAGGAAAGCTCATGGGCCAAGATAAAGACAGGGGTAAAGACTGGTTACCGTCAGAGGCAAAACAGACAGCTTGGGGAAAAGTAATCTAATTTATTGCCATCCCCAAGTAGTGCAAGCAAATGGCAACTGGGAGGATTATGGTCAGTTCATAAGAGGTCCTCTCTGCCAATCCTTCCTCCTCACATTCTGCCCCTGCTCCGCTCTAGATCTTTCCCATGGGTTGCAGTCCTTCAGAATAAACCTGCTCCAGCCTGGGCTCTCGAGAGACTGCATTTCCTTCACAAAATATGCTCCCGCTCCAGGGTGAGGTCCTCCATGACTGTAGTGTGGGTTACTGCACCACCATGGTCTCTCTATGGGCTACAGGAAAACATCTGCTTCAGTGTGGTAACTCCAGGGGCTGCCAGGGATCCCTGCTGGGGTGCCTGGACCACCTCTTTGCCTCCTGCCACTCTCCCCGCGGTGCTCACAGTGTGGTTCTCACGCTTTTCCTCTCACATCTGGGCACAGTGCCTGCGGTGGATCCATTGGATCCGGCTGGAACCAGCTGTGCCTGGCACGGAACAACCCTGGCCATTCCTCACAGAGGAGTTTGAAATTAGTCTGCTTTTATATGCTCATCAATGTATAGGTATAAAAAGATAAACGTTTATGTTCATATATATGTGTATCATACACAATATGTAGAAAAGCAATTCTTACTCTAATTCATCTGATGACTCCAAGCTTGCATCCATCTGCAGCAGTTCATTTACTCTTGCTCTGCAAGGGCAGTATGATTTAGCTGCACCGAATTTTGTTCTAAAAGTTTTCTTTCAAAAGCTTTGGTTTTAAATAAATCACTTTTTATTGTTAGTAATGGGAAATATTACAGAATTTCATACATTGTGTTATGATAATGCACTAAATTAAAGCGTCTACTGTCAGGCCAAGATTTTGATTCTGCTTTAGAGTGCTTTAAATCTGATCAGTTGTGTGGAAGATGCTCTCAAACATCCCAGTTCTCAAAGACTGGGCAAAGAACTTGTGTGTCATCCAAGAGTCTTATTTTGATCTTTTCTAAGTTCTTCCCAATTTTTACTATCTCAGTTTGTGTCAATTTACAGGTAGCTAAAGCCTCTCTTGTCCAAAGATTGTGAATGTGGCTGGTCTGCTCAGAATCTCCAGCTCTGTGAGAACTGAGGAATGCCATACCATAAATCTGGATTTAGGATCTCTGATCCAGAGTCACTAACAGTATCTCACAGGATATGAAACATAAAATCAGTATGATTTTACTTTTCTGGAGCTGATTTACTCAAAAATTTTGACAGATTAGATTTGTAACTAAAAGTTTTGGACTGGATAGTACATTTTTTGTTTAATTTACTTTTCCATTATTAAGGATGCAGCACTGGCCATCCACAGTGCTTTAACTTTATCAAGTCCTTGCATCCCCTGGCACTTTTATGCCTGGCAAGAAAATATAAAAGAAGCATATATTTCATAATGTCTTCTTTGTTAGTTCTTCAGGTATGTGGTCAAAGAACCATGCCTTATGCAGATCAGATTTTTACTGCTGAATTACTGTTCAGTGCTCAGCTATTGGCACAGTACTAAACAACTAATTTGCCAGACTTTCCTATATAAAACAAATTACTTTTAAAGAATTTTTTCAAGCAGAATGATGAAAGATATGACTTTCCCTGTTGTCCTCATAACTGCATTTGTGAAGAATTAGCAAAAAACCTGTACAAGAAGTAAATCTGACACTGGTGTTCTATATGAATTTTCAGTTAAATATATCAGATTACAAGAAATAGCGCAAATCCAGTGATCAACCTTACATTTCTGTGGTTTTGCTTATTCTTTATCTGAGACGTAAGTCCTTCTGTTCTGAAGTGATTTCTTCACATTTGCATATCTTGTGCATGAGTATGACTGTTCAGGAATGTTGTAAAAACCTATGTCAGTGACATTTTATGGTGTAATTAGTTTACAAGCGTCTCCTATAAATATCTGTTCATGTGGATTATTACCCTCCGTTTTAGGTTGTGTCTTTTGTCAGTCCTTAATCTGTAGAGCTTTCAAGTTAGAAATGAAGCTGCAAAAAGCATCTGACAAGAAATATGTTTCTCTTAGTTACTATGAAATTTTGTTTGCTTCTCTCATTGCAGGTTTTGTGTGTGTTTGTGTTGGATTGATTGTTCTCTCATGGTTGTCAGTCCGGGAGTTAGAACGAGGTAAGCAGCCAACCTTTAATCTTTCTAGGAGTTCTTCAGTAGACGTTCAGACTTTGAAGTCAGTGGTGGTGTCATTATTTTTCATATTTCATGCCATGCCTTTAATGCAGGGGGAGGAGAGGTTGGGGATATTTGTTTTCCTCCTGTCCTCCCCTGGAAATCAATGTGAAAAAAATAGGCAAAAATATAAACATCTGAACCATGTCTCGAAACCATAGAAAATAATTTTCATGGTTTAGAATTTGGGTGAGACCCCTGGAATGCAATCCAAGCTACAAAGCTTTGGTTATTCAGTTGTAATCATCAACTGCAGAAGGTAATATGACAACCCTTTATAGGGTTTGGTTCAGAAAGACAATGATAATTCTCTGTGTTCTGCATCTCTTGGCATCTTTCATTTTTTATATAAAAAACCCACAATATTTTAAAGTCGTCTATCGATGTGAGAAAGATCCTACATTAGACAGTAAAGATAGTTACTCTTAATATTTAGCCAATACTTAGAACATGATAGAATCAAGCTACTAAGACTCAACGTAAACTATCTTTAAAAAATGTCATGATTTTCAAATGGAACTGAAATTTTGGTTTAAAGATCTTGTGGATATATATTAGCTGTGTCCTGGTAAGGCCACATTTGGAATATTGTGTCCAGTTCTGAGCTCCTCAGCATAGGAGAGATATGGAGTTACTGGAGTCCAGTAAAGGACTGATCAGACTGTGGAGCTCCCCATCCTTGGAGATGTGCAAAAGCTGTCTGGACATTATCCTGGCTAGCTGGCTGTAGGTGGCCTTGCTTGAGTAGTGGGATTGGATCAAATGACCTACAGAGCTTTCTTCCAACCTCAGCCCTTCTGTGATCTAAATTTTTGTTTGGAAGGAAATATATTTAGGTCTGTGAAACCCTCACAGCTAATAGCAAAGTGATATTTTGAAACAGTGTGAAGGAAATTTTTTGGGCAGTCATTAACCAAAAGTCCATACTATTTCGTACCAAAGAACAAGAAGACTAAACTACTGTAAACCGTATTTAAATAAAACCAAACCAACTTTTGTCAGAATACTCATGTTTATTCTTTCAATTGCTCTTGATTTTCATTCCAGATTTTAAAATTTGTTTTCCCTACTGACTTTCTTCCCCTCTTACCAGAATACTATCACACAATAAAACACAATGAGCTTAAAGGTAATGATGGTATGTTGTCTATTTAGAACATAGGCAATAATTTAATAATGTATAAATTATAATAATTAAAAAAAAAATATTTGACTTATATGGAAAAAAGGTCTTTGCTATTTAGAAACATTTGTTTAAACAGATTTGCAATCGTTGGAAGGATAAACGACCTTCAAAGAAGTTCTAAGTAGTCTGCTGTTACTAGTTGATAGCAAATTGTGTCAGTAGGCTGTGCTTTCCATTAAAAGCTGTTTATCACAGTATTTATTAGTTATATGCTTTTATCTTAAAAATTGTGATAACCACTTGATATTAATGCCTTCACAATCTACAAATACCAATGGTACTGTAACTGGTATGAAAAAAGCATTTTTCTATCAATCAACCAACCACATTAATTCAGGCCTTATCTGAAAATTCCCTGTGTGTTACATAGTGAGGAAATATTTTTAATGTATAATGAATTGCTTTATGTACATCTCATGTGCTGTAGCATATTAAAAATCAAGATGAAATTTGCTGTAAGGACCAGTTATCTAGTTTCCTTATAAATCCTCCGAGCGCTTCATGCCTGTATTGGTAAGAAATGTCAGGTCAAACTATTCTGATACTAGTGTTTCCAGTGTTGTCATCAAAACCAGCATACATTTATATAAAAAGTGAACAGCATTTAATAAAGGAAGTGTGGAGTAGTAGTTCTTAGCTTTTTTAATCCAAAACACAAAACCCCTTCATAATTCACTGGGTATTATTCTTCCCATGTATCTTTGTCCCTTGTGTCAAGACACAACCGGGCATAACATTGTCCCCTTTACCCATTTACACAGCTTCTGCAAAACAGCATTTGAAACAGAATTGAAAGTAATGAGAACTAAGGACAAATAGTATTCATTAAAACATGTTTACAGTTGTAACTATTGTAAACATTGAAAAACTTCTATCACTTTTTTGAAATCAGCACTAGGTAAAACATCTCTGGTTGCAAAGAAAACAGAAAGCTAAAACTTATTGTACTGTTGATCTGTGTAGAATAAAATCTAATATAATGGTTTTAATTCATTTCTATGTAATTCAAAACATTGAATTTTATTTTAATTATCTAGCCAAGGCAAATGGGAATACACATGGCTACATGGGAACATTTAAAATACTCTCTGGGACATCATTCACTCCTGCTTTGCAAAACAGATCATCAGCTGATTTCAAAGTCCTTGCCTTTGATGTTGAACAACTGGTAAGAACCTATTGGTCTCTGGTTAATTCAAAAGCATTGTAGGTACATTAATTTCCTAACGTGACCTGCTGTTGATGGCTTTTTTCCCTCTCTAAAATGAGATATTTCAGGTTTAGGACCCTTCAGACTTCAGTGTATTCCTTATTTGTGAAAATTAGTGAAGCATCAAAGAGGAAGTTTGCTTCTGTAGTCTAGATTTGGGATGGAAAATTTATTTAGTATTAAAACCACAAATACAATGTACAGTTGGGTGTATTTTTAATTCCTGTATTTGCTCAAGATTTCTCTTTTCCATATAGATACAAGACGTTTTTCAAACAAGTGATCTGAAAAATGAATTTGAGAGATGTGAAATTTCCCAGTTCGAGTAGGTATAGTTTGGTCCTTACTTAGCTATTTATCTCAGGAGTGCTTACCAATACCTTGCTTTTCAAGAGGTCTTTGGGAACATCCGGTATTATTTCTTTCATGTCTTATGTCTTCCAAGTGCTGCTGTGGGAAGTTTGACACCATTGTGTTTCCTTGAGCAAACTTTCTTCACAGACTCCTGTATATCTGTGTCTTGACCAAACCAGAAAGGCTGCACCCCAAGACCAGCTCACAAAATTTCTGTATTTTAGAGAATCGACAAATTTCCCTCCCCTCAAGACTTATTAGTTGTGCTATGTTTGCAGGGTTGCTGGCCCTTGCATCTAATTCAGGTTAGAGATCTGCTGGCATAAGCTGAAATGAATGGAAATACACGTGTCCTTATGGACCTGTATTCCCTTAACTTATATTCCTTAGGGTGTTACCAAGTGAGGCAAGCATCTGGCACAGGTAAAGCTATACCCTGTAAATCCTAAAGTGTCCATAAAATAGGTACAGTAAGATCTGCTTTATTTATTTAATCTTGTTTGACCTTGTTTTTCATTATCCTATTATGTTTGTTGCCCTGCTGAATGTCAGCTGGCAAAAAAAAGACCAGTATATTCAGTGATGTCTGTTCTTAATAAGGTCCTGATTCAGCAAAACATTTGTGATGTTGTCTTCTATTATCAAACAGTTTCAGAACATGCTTCCACATTATCCACAACGTTATAAACTCAAGGGGAATTGTATGCTTTTGTGCTGTTTTGTGTTACAGGTTTTTGGGTTGTTTTTTTTTTCTACAGGAAATCTGAAGATGGCCTTGAAAGATTCAAGAAGTCAGAGACTCGGTAACGGCAAATGACAAAGTGGGCAAGAGACAATGATGCTATTAATTTAGAAAGTTATGTAGACAGTGAATAGATATGAAAATACATCTTTAGAGACTGGACAAGGCTTTCTAAAGTAGACATGAAGGTTCAAGATGTAATCTTTCCTCCAAAAACATCCTTTAGAAGTAGAAGAAAAAAAAAAAAAGAAAGAAGTTATAGTCTCTGAGACTGTCAATTTAGGAAGAAAAATGGGAAAGATAGATAGTAAAGATGGACAGAAAGATGGACAAGAAAGTAGGTAGGAAACTAGCTAGAAATTAAAGAGTATCTGTTTGTACTGAGCTTGCTTGTGAAAAGTTGCATAGATTGAGGGGCAGATGTCACGTTGTCATTAGCAACTTAAGTTTTATTAAAGGAAGGCCTAATGACACACTATGATAGGCAAACAAAAGAGAGAACAAAAAGATTAAGACTGTAGAACTGGAATACATCAAGAAATTAATGATATAATTAGTTGTTTTATAGGTGAGAGAACAAAATTAAAGAAGTATACACTATTGTGACAGCAGATGATGCAATTCTGTGATACCAGCTGCTCTTGTGATATCAATGTTTTCTGTAAATACATAAAATGGATAAATATTCAGAGGTGCTAGTTCATTTGAATGACCATGCTTGCAAAACAAAAATGGGTATTAGCCAACCATGAATACATGTCTGTTGAAAATAGGAAGCGCATTTGAATTAGAGCAATCTTTTGATTGGAGTAGTGCACAATTTAGTTTCTGCGCACAGAATAGGACTATTCCCATTAAAATCTGGGCATCAAAGATGGAGACATCTCTGAGCTAGTTGATCAAGACTCTATATGCAAGACATGGGTTTCTAGAATTTTTTCATCTGGTCAATCTAGATGCCTTTTTTAGGAGGAGGTAGATTATGCCAAAGAATAGTTTATTTTTTTTCCATCATCTACAACAGGAATGTAGATATCTGCACTGTAAACATCTGTATTGGGTAAAATCAATTCCACACAGTATCTTGACACAAATACCACAGAAATCACAGAAAAATCTGATGTCAGTAAATGTTGGAAATGGCTTTGAATACACCAGTAAGGATCTGTCTTCATTTCTTCTTTGAAATAATACTTGAATTATTATTTTGTCTCAGGAGTTTTTTTCTAGCTGACTCTTCATTCAAAATGTTTACCCCTTTGGGCAATCTTGTTGTTACATAACCCTTAAAACTCTGCTGAGTCACAAGGATAGCAATAAAAGATTTTTTTTCGCTCACATGGCCAAGAGATTATCAGAAATATGTAAGAAATTAAAGAGGAGAGTTTTGCCATATATTGCAAACTGTGAACTATGGTCAGCAAAATGGCAGGATTAATCTCCTCTTATCAAAACCACTCCTGAGTGAATTGCCATTGGGTAGTATACATGCTTAACAATTCAAAGTTTGTACCTATATTTACATAAATGGAGAAAAATAGCAAGCATCATGCTTTGACGCTACTTTAGTCTAGCTACAAATACGAAACGTAATAATAGTATCTAGAAGGAATGGGAGAGAGCAAACAGAAAACACTCTGGATAGAATTCAGGTGCCTTAGAAGTCAAATGTAGTTTAATCGCTGATTTAAAAACATCTGTGCTTTTAACCATTACTGTTTCCCTATGAGAATCTATGCAGTCGTACAGCAGATCCTCACAGATGCAAAATCCACAGATGATGTTTGCTTTATAGAAGTGGTTCACTTTGTATTATAGTTTTGCAACATGAATATATTACATAATTGTCATGACACTTCAAGGTTTACCATAAATATTTCAGGGCTTAATCTAGAAGACCTGTTGAATAACAATAAACCTACTTCTTCAGTTTATTCAAAATCCATCTCTGTTGCAGCAGTTGATATAAATGTTGCTTTGTTTTTTTTCCACAGTGAAAATAAGAGCAGATAAAGAAAAAAAAAAAAACTGTTTCTTCAATGTTCAAACCTAGTGATAATCAAGAGGTGTTTCTTCATGTGTGATCTTTGCCAGCCAAAACTTAAAGATAGTCTGACTTTACAAATGGAACCTGCATTGGAATTAAATATTATCTAGGTGATAAGTCATATAGCAAATTTACTTCATCAGCTTGCATAACTAATAACCTTCTTTCTTTTGTATTGCTAGTGTTGTTGTGATCTTCACCCTTTATTTTAGCCACATGGTAACAGTTGAGAAAGTAAAAAATGAGCTGGTTTTGCATATCAACTCAAATAAAACTAATCTTACTCAGACACTGAAAATTGATGTGAACAGCATACAAGTCACAGGTAAGACTGGTAAACATTTTTTGCCTCTGTATAAATTCTTGAGAACTGCAGGTAGCAGGAATGAAAATTTACACTCCCAACCAGCAAAGAGATTGTTACGGCCATGGGTGCCCTCCTTCACCATTAGAGAGCTTACAGTAGCAGCTAAATGAACCATTTACAACTTTGTCAGCTGGAAAGTATGTCAGCATGGTGTATGCTCATTAAGGAGGGAGTAAAGATAAAAAGTAGTGATTTCCCAGTGAAAACCACTCGATTTCATCTCATTAATGTAGTATAACATTTGTGATTTCATTATCACTCAAATTAAAGCAATTAAGCCTCAACAGTGTTGTTTCATAAGTAAATTCAGTTTTGTTTCTCTAAAGAGTAAGAAAAAGGGCTCAGCCTTACAGTGAGTGAAGACTCATTTATTGAAAAGATGTCAGCCAGAACATACCAAGTAGAGTGTGGCTTCTGGAGAAGCATGCCCAAGGAACTGACCTCATATTGCTCTAAAGCATATGTAAAATGTAAATGGAAGAAAAGGAATGTGGCTTTTAAGTAGTTTTAAATTTTGCAGATATACAAATATAATGTTTTTATGTAAGTACTAGAAAATATATCAAAGCCTGCAAACAAGATTAATGGGATTCCTTGGTTTTATCTCCTAAAGCTTCAAACCAGACCTTTACTGAGGATGAGGATAAAAAATAACTTGAATCCTTTGAAGTGGAAGTTGATTAGCTGACATCTGAAGGCATGCTGGCGATACTATTAAGTAGCAACTGATTGCTTTATGAGGGGTGGGATCTCTGATGTACAATGTCTGTTACTCTATTCTAAAATGCACATTTTTTGCTTAGTATATCAGATGTTTGAAAGCTAAATTCAGAGTCTTGACATCTTTATTTTTCTTTACTATTCGTACCACATTTCCGAAGTTGTTGTGAATACCTACACATCACTGTGGAAAGTGATTGCTATTATACTTTAAAAATGCCACCAAAAAGAATATAAAGAGCTTTTTAAAAGGTTGTATATCTATTGATGAAATTTGGAGTAGTTAAACTTTTCTTGCTGTGGATCATTAAAATCCCCTTTTCATTTGAGAGATCATCTGTCCATTCCATCTGCAGTGCTTCAGTGAAACGACAACCATAACTAATTAACATTTATAATCATATATGGCACTTCTGCATCCTATATCTCAATGTGTTCTTCAAGCCTTATTCCTATTTCAGAGAGGGAGAGAACTGCAGCACAGGTGTGGCTTGATTGAAATCATGGTTTGCACAGTGATTAAAAGTAGCTTACTTTCTTGCAAATTATCCCAGGTTAATTTTAACTCATTTATCTGATCTAAATAATGTTTTGTAAGACACAGGTGCTCTGAAAATTTGCACAGTATAAAAAATGCCAAGACACATATTTCCCAGATGAAGACATTTTATATGCAATACAATGAACTGGGATTGAGGATTGAAAGGTGTTGATATAAACGTTTCTTCCTTAGGAAGATCATAGATTTTGAGAAAAGACTGGGAACAGGGTAAGGTGATCATAATGAGGGCGTTGGGACACCACTAGCTATTCAAAAGAAATAGTCACACCTGATTTATTTTGTTTTTTTAATTTCCTTTCTTTGAGCTGTACAAATGGTGACACAGTGCTATGAAAGGAATTTATAATGAATTTGCTTTCTTCCAGTAACTGCTGAAAATCTTACTACAATGATGCCGTTAACTTCTGGTCAGTATCTTTCAATAAATAGAAACTATTTTTTTTTTGTCACCAGTACAACATGAAGAAACATAAAACTTGCTGTTCAGCTGGTATAACTTAGTAAAGGTGCCTTGGCTATAGTTGGGTCTTGAAAGAGAGGGTCGATTCAGTGATAGTTAGCCACTCCCCATCATTTTTGACCATTTGAGAAAGCAGACACCTGGAGTCTGTACAAAAGCTCTAAGAGCTTAATTACTGGATCAAAGGAAAATTGAGTATCCACCAACCAGCTGAGTTGCAAGCTGAAGTTTTTGTGGATTTAAGCAGGTAGATGAGACTGGGGAGAACTACTCTTATGCTGTGGTTATGAATATACTGGGAAATGTTGATTGATTGATTTTCCTTCCAGTCTACTACCGGAAGTCTTATGACAATATGAAGCAGACACATCTTGATCTCACAAATTCACAGAGTGCAAACCTGCAAAAAGTCAGCCAGACAGCTGAATAATACAGTAGGTGCTTTGTAGATACAGATAGGGTTGCCATGTTCAAACTGCATGCAAACTATCGTGTATGAATTCTCCAGGACAGGGTGCAAGACCAGGAGCTTCGTGCAACTTATGTGAGCTAAAGATATGCGCCTGTGACTATAGGAGCCAAGTACTTGTTGATAGTCTAATTACAACCATAACGAAGAAAGAATTGTTATTAGTTACGGGCCTACGAACATGTATAGTCCAAAGTGTATAATTACTGCAGCTTATTCTGAATGATACAGTTAAAACTGCTAACATATAGATTTTCTCCTACTTATCCCTGCCTCTGGTGTGCTATCTCCATGCTCCCATGAGTCATAAGTTCAATGTTGCTAATTATCCTCAAGAAGAATTGGGGGGGGGGGTGGGGGAGGAGAAGAAGTGACAGAGGAAGGACGGAGGAAGGGAGTTGGGATTTGTCAGTACCCCAGGCTGGAAGGAAAATGTTCCTGGTGTGGATTCCTTTTTCTCCCTTTGGTCTTGGGTTTGCCTGGGGTCATTTTTGTGTGTTTGCTAATAATGTCTGCTTCCTTGTTCTTCCTGTTTCACTCCACAATATACCCAAGTATTAACACATTTACATCTCCTGGATGCTTGGGTTTTGGCTCTATTGACCCTAAAACCATCCTTATCCACCTCACGTGTTACTTTAGTGAAACTGCACAGTAACTGAACATTTTCTGTTTGTGCTTATGCCACTGATGCGTCTGTCACCTTCCTGTGCTTTTCCTTGCATGTTTTTTGCTGTCAGCTTGTACATGCGCTATTGGGAGTACTTGTAACAATCCAGATCTCTTTCAACAGTCTTCAAGACATAGCTACCTGTTAATTGTTCTGTTAGAGCTGCTTGCTTCTGCAGGTGTCCATGTTTTAGATCTTTGCATGTTTAATTCCTTCCAAAATAGTGATCCTTTAGACACTGTTTAGACAGATATGTAACTAAACACATATATAGGTATATAACATATATGTCTGTGTATATGTATATAACACTTTGACAACTACTGTGAAGGTATGTATGAAGCTTCCTTCTCTGAATGTAACTGAGAACAGTCAGTCCAGCTGCACACTCCCTGCACCTTCTTCTGGACTCTCCTCTCTCTCTGTCAGAGGAACTGTGTTCTTAAACTTGCTGACATAGAATGCTTTGTAATCCATTTAATACATAGTGACCTAGCTTAGCTTAATGGTGTTTGCTAGATAAGCATGCTTTAATAGAAAATTGGTAGGAAGTCCTCATACAGGTTTGTGCACTTCTAGGTTTGGGAGAGCAGGAGCATCTAATAAAAGCGTGATATCTGATGATCAGCAACTTTTGCCAGCAAAACTGATAGAAAACAAACTATAGAGGCCTTACTATGTCTCTCACTTTATTCCTTCTTGCCTTTCATTCTATAAACTAAGGGATAAGATGAATTAACTGTAGTGACATAGGGATCATTTTGAGCTGAGTACATCACCATCCTACTCTCATATTTAAGTCAACGTAGAAAGTGAAAATAGTAAAAAGGGATGCTAATGCAAGTTCAGAGGAAAAGAAAGACTGTTTGGAAGAGGAAACACCAGGGGCATCCTCAGTAATTGCTATTAAAAGCACCACTAAATGGAAGTTGTGTTGGAGCCATCACAAATGAGCATTCCATTTTCCAGAGTGTTTTGCAGTTTATTATCACTAATACAAATCTACTTATGTACCTCGGTATTTGTTCATGTGCAATTATGCATGTATATATGTAAATATACAAAGACTAGATAGTTTGAGGCTCCTCTCCTCACACTGCAATAATTGATTTGTTGAGCAATTTGTGGAGTTATTTATAAGAAAATATATATTTTAGTACTAATATTGAAGTTATTGTAACTTTAAAGTTTCAGATTCAGAGTCTAACTACAAGCTCCTTCACACCAACTTCAGGTCAGAACTTTTACATACCAGACAAGAAAGAATTGATACAGCAGGGGGGTTGGAACTAGATGATCTTAAGGTCCTTTCCAACCCTAACGATTCTATTATTCTATGATTCTATGATGCCATTTTAACCGAAAAAACTAACAGACAAGCAAAAAAGGTCTTTTGAAGTTAGTGAAAAGCATGTGACTAGAGCTAAAAGAATGAAATCTAAAATACACTTGGATTCCATGTTATTTTTCTTATGTTTATTATGACACTTGGCCTTCAGGATCAAGGCCACTCAAGCTGGTGCTACTGTACCATTACCTAAGCTGGGATTTGGGGATGTAGCAAATAGTGTAGATATAAGAGCAGACTAGCTGCTTCTTAGTTCTTCCTAAACTTGGGTTGTATTTTCCCAGGTTCAGGACAGCTCACTACAAGCAAGCCCTCAACAACTGCAGGTAGGTAACTGTGTATGGGAAGAAGCAGGGAGGTTATATGAAATAGTCTGAGACCTTAGAATCACTTAGAATATACTGGTTTCATACAACCTCTTCTTACATCATTCAGTTCTAACATCCCATTCCTACAAACGCGTGATATGTAGGTTTACCTTTGATTTGACAAAGAAGACTTCTTCAAAGAGAAGGAAATTCTAAGAGTACATTCTACAAAAATGGTATGTGTGTGTATGTTGATATATATATGTTGACATTCATAATCATTTTTGTTTCCTGTTGTTTCTTGAGGCTTTAACAAAAAGAAAAAAAAAAAGAAAAAGCTGTTTGAATCTTTTGAAACTTCCCTTAGCCTTATTAAATGAAGAAATATATGTTATTTATAAGCATTTTCAAATGGAGCTAATATATTTACTGCCATTTTTAGTTGAGTATAGCAATTACATTGCACTTCAGGGTAATCTTCTGTTTAAAAAAAAAGTCAAATATTTAACTAGCAAATGTTAATTTCTTTTTATCCAGTAGGTGGCAATACTGTTTAGTTTTCTCAGTTGAAGAATAAATTGGACTCAAATCTATGTAAACAATGTTTTCTTGCATATTGGGCTTGTGCAAAACATATTCATTGCTCATTGTCTGGGTTTCTGCTCTGGGTCTAGAATGCACAGTTTCATCTCTGTTCATATGTGGCAATTCATTCATTGGCGCTGTATCTCCAACACTTGACTAAAGTATGGTTTTCTTTGATTACCAATTGGATGCAGAATGGCAGCTCTTTTTCTCTACACTGTTTTCATTGCTAGCACTGGAAGTGTTTTGTAAAGCATTTTGAAATGCTACAGTACTTCCAAATACATCCAAACCAATTTAAGTCTTTTTCACTTACACTGATATACAATATTATACAAACATCTAGTTAATTTGATAACAGAACTAAGTTTTATGAAAGAAATAAATCAAGCAATAATGCTTAAAGGCTTCAATTTCAGTTTTGTATTAATATTTTTCCTTTTTACTTTTCAAGTGCAATTTGAATGTATTCATACTTGCAATTTTGAACTTTTCCAGTTAGCATTTACCAAAGTAAAGAAAAGGAACTATGTGAATAATACCAGGTGAATAGTTTCCATGGAATTTAATTCAATTATCAAGAATTTTGAAATTAGTAGTTATACAAAGCTCATTTTAGCTGCATATTTTTGTTCACTTTAATAGGACCTACTTGAATTCTACAGATGTCTAAGACCAAAGTAATCTAAAGACTAAAAGATGATGTTTGCAGTGGATGAACATTTATGCTCTAAGAAAACACTAATACTAAGATTCCACAATTTTAAGGACCTGCCCATGTATTATTTTTGAAGAAATTTGCTTTTAACTTACAAATTTAGTTTGAAAATCTGAAAAGAATAGGGTTTCTGATAATCCTAGTATTTTGAAATCCAGTCTTAAAGTCTTTAATTTTCCAGATATGCTGGTTAAAAAACAAAATTATTTAACATGACAAAGTGCAACATTAGGATAAGTTGAAGAAATGGAAAGTTGAAGAAATTAAATTGTATTCAGCTAGACCCAGAGATTTTTCACTCGTATTTAAACCAAAGTATGGTTTTCTCATGTTATTCAAGAGGAAAATATCATTTATTATATTGCATAAGATAGTCTATTTCTGTAGAGGAAGTAAATAGGAATTCATGGAAATTTTCTGCCAGCCCTACTTCAAGCTTAGTTTCAAAAAATATGTCAGTTCTGAGAACTTCCTCCATTCTGTGCCAAATTTATCTTTTTAGTGTGTGATATTTCACTCCAGGCTTCTGAAAATGCAGTTTTGTAAAACACAATAGAGTGGGTGATTTGATTTGTGCTAAAGTAACCAGAGGTAATTCAATTTTCCTTGGTAGTGAAACAGCATTACTGCTCTGCTGTTATTGCTATTTTCTTTATTATTTCAGCTGAATGTTTGCTACCTGCTGAACTTTGTGATGATGGTGTAACCTGCATTAGAAATGATTTATTTTGTGATGGAATCTTGGACTGCCCAGATAGTTCTGATGAATCTGAAAAAAGATGTGGTAAGAATGTAAATCCCTGTAAATAAGTCTTTTAAACACGCTTAAACCTGTCAGTAGTTAGTAAATAGTTTATAGACAATAAATTGCACAGTGTTTTCTAACAAAATCAATTCTACAAAAATATTAACAAGAGTGATTGTTATAATCTTTATGTTGTAAATAGAAACAAATTTCTTTAACTTCTCATTAATAAAGAATATGCTTTTTAAATAATGAAATAATTGAACAAAAATGATAAAATAATATAGACGTTTCATATAAAGTTGTGTACCAGTAATATCAAATAATGTTCATACAAAATAAATTAAAATTATGACCCTATAAAGATACAAATTCACATTACCTAGTATCAGAAACCCCCTAATTGAATATTTGGAGCCAGAAGAGAGTTTTCTTTTTTGATTCCAGCATTAATATTGTCATACGAAACACTGCAAATAGCTTTTTCTGTGTTACTGTGTATAGTTAGCTACATTGATATTGTACATCCAGAAACTAGATGGGTCAGGTCCTGGCAGCATTTTGTCGTCAGAGCAGGTGAATATGACTGCTGCCACAGCAGGATGTAGCTCTGGCAGGATAACTCTGTGTGTTGGCTACCCACTTGCATCTCACTACACAGTGTCAGGAAATGGGAGTGTCTATATGACTTTGACGCAAATGTTTGAGTTGCTGTCACCTCAGTGATGATGATGTAAAAATCTGGGCAAGCAGCTCTAGGTGGCCTTGTTTGAGCAGGAGGTTGAGATAGATGACCTCCAGAGGTCCCTTCCAACCTCAACCCTCCTGTAAATCTGTGAAAACCTTACAAATCTGACACCTGATTTATTTTTTTTAATGGAAAAAGTTTATATCCTTCAGTGCCAGTGGGTTTATTTGCGTACCTGATTGGCTAGTTTCCCTGAGCACCTTTTTGTGCAGAGCAGCCATTGCTCCGTGTAAATAATATGAAGCTGTACCAAGCAATCTACTTTGCTGCTTACCAAAGCTTGTGTGCAGCTTTTTGGTACACAGGAAGGCTTGTATGTTAATGTTGTCTGTATTGATCTTCACAGCCTCGGTTAAAAGCCTGTAAAGTTTTATTGCAGAGAATTTTGCAGATGTTTTAGGAGACAATGGGGAAATTAACTCCCTGAGTGCATTATTTGGTAGTTTTTGGGGGGGTGTTCTTTTGTTTTTTGTTTGTTTGTTTGTTTGTTTTAACCATAGAATTTGTTGCTAGAAATCTGGAAAGCTTATTCCCTTCTGCTGTGAGAGTGCCTTCTGAGCTTTCCTGAGAATAATGGTGAGGGCAGTCTGGTCTGAGCTTTCCAAAACATAAAATGCTGGGCTCTGGTTTAAAAACAAACAAGCAAGTAAAAGACCATTTTTTTTTAAACAAGCTGCAAGCTCGATTCTGAAGGCTGGTGACAGACTGACCCCTTCTGCCAGAAGTGGAAATTTCTTCAGAGAAAATCGCAGACCTGCCCATTACCTGCATTTTTCTGAGTGCAGCCAACTCAGAAGGGTGACTGAGCTGAAAGTCTGGGGAAAATATCCATCCAAATACTTCAGTAGAATATCCACTGAAACACATCCAAATGTTTATTTAGCATAACAGCCACATCCAGCCAGATAACAACGATGGGCTCTGAGCAGGTCCCTTCACAGCTGAGGAAATCAGAAGGTGCTAAAATAAACTCAGCTAGACCTTTGTCCCACTGCAAGCGTTAAGGTGGTACAACCACAGTTACTCATTCATTTCTACCATCATACAGTTGTTTTGAGACATGGATTTTGCTTGGGTTTTTTTTTTTTTAATTATGATTTATTTATTTATTTTATAGATTTTAGATTATTTTTTATTTTAGATAAGCTAAATAAAAAGTGCATATCCAGATAGTTAAGAAGTAGTATTATATCTCTCATCAAAATTAATGCTTTTTAGGTACAAGTTTTGCTCACATTTTATTAAAGTTGTTACAGTCAGGCCTGCTATATAGGAAAGGATTTAACTGTTGTTTACATTGATAGATACAGACAAAAATAAGCTCACCTACTTGCAGTCAAAGCTCTGTAAATATGACTTAGCTCTGCCCTGGAGGCTACACAGTGGTTTAAGTTATGAATTGTGTTTGAGTAGACATTTTCAGTTGAGGCATAGCTCATGGCTTTTGGATTCAATTCAGGTATCTCCCTGAATGTCTACCATATATAAATTGTGAATGCCTTGCTCCTTTGTAACTGAGGATATAATTTCTTAATCAGCATTTTAACGGTCATTAAGGAATATGCACAACTGAACTGGAAATTTCAGGAATGAGCATACAAATAAAAGTACTCAGACATAAGGAAACCAGCTACAGTTACAGTCCACTTCAGGGAGCTGGATGATGTGCCTGTGTTCATCTTCACTGATGCCTGGTATTTCCAAGCAATTCATTCAGCTACCATTAGTTTCTCAGCTTCAGCTCATAACCTTGCAGAAACGCAGTTCTGGCTGGAGGACAGATTGTTGCTCCATGACTCCTACATTTTCAGTCTTAAAATTTTCCATCCAAAAACTCAGAGCTTTTCTAAATTTATATATTTAAGTTTTTTAGCAGACTTTGCAAAACCAGTGGAATGAGTGGCAATAAGCAGTATGCATGTTTGGGATACCTGCCAATTTTTCCACCTCTTTGATATTTAATTTATGTCCAAACCCTAGACTAACAATACAGTCATATAAAAGCTAAAATGGCCTAGATTTTCAGGAGTGTTTCAGAGTTTCACAATGAGATTTACAGCCAATTCATGTTTCGTGCTATAAGTGCTCTTGCACATAACAAAGTTGCTGCCTTTTAAACAACCAGGTTTGTTTTTTCATCTTGATGATTATTCCCTCTAGTAATTCTGATTTTAGAATATGCTAGTGGCTTTAAAATATAGGATACAAGGATGAATTTTAATAGGTTTTTTTCCTGCATTAGACTGAATTCAGTATAATCTCAGATACTCAGCAGAGATTCAGACAACTGAAAACCTTCATTTCTTTGGGTTTATTGATTAAAATTATCTTGAAAGGTTTCTTTGTGGCTCTGCAATGCAGTGCAGTAACAAAAGGTATTGCAAAAGTGCGGTTGGGAATTTCAATGAAAGGATCTCCAGAGAAATGTGAAAGTCTGAACAGCATCTGTTAATAATGACTAGCATTGCTGAAAACAGCCATGAAGAACCTAAGTGTGAGGAAAGGGAGACTGGAGGCTGATCCCAGGAGGTGTTTCTCTCTGCAGACTTTCTTTGCAGTTATCATATGTCTAGGCTAGCATTTTGTGATTACCTACCTCACAGCACTACAGTAATAAGAGATCAATCATATGTAAGTCAGGAGGAAATGTACTGCCCTTGGCAGAGAAAGGTCCTGTCAAGTGAAATATGTGGGCTTGATCTGAGCAGTTTGGGGAGCTTCTCCCTGCAATTCAAGGATAACAGGATTAAGTCTTCCTAATGTGCACTGTATGTAACATAAGTAAACAGGAATGTACAGCAAGGTGCATGATGGGGAAGCAGGGAAAGTGGTTCCTACAAAAGATGTCTCCTGTCTGATTAGCAGAACAAATAAGCTTTTCCTCAGGGCTCCAGGAGGACACAGAAGTATAATGACTTCTGCCCCTCTTAGACCGCGCCTGTTTCTGCAACAAGGAACTTCTAGGAAGTTCTTCAGGGAAACAGAATCATAGAAACCTGGAATGGAATCCTGGGTTGGAAGGGACCTAGTTCCAACTCCCCTGCCGTGGGCGGCGACACCTTCCACTACACAGGGTTGCTCAAAGCCCCAACCAACCTGGGACATAGATCTCCACAAGACCTGGGTAACACGCCAAGGTTTGGTGTTTTTTTTACTTTCAGAAAGGCTGAGTGGAGGTAAAGAACAAATGTTTTCTTTCTATACACCTTCTAGAAAAAGGCAGAGAGATGTAATGCCAGTCCCAGCTATCTTTCTGCTCATTCCTGAGACATTCTATTGCTAGACTCTGGATAAGCAGCCTAAGGACCTTTGCCTGACTCTTGCTGTCCTGTTGCAAGTTACTTACTGTCTCTTAAGATATAAGAAGAAACAAATAAGATGAAACAAGAAAAGCAGAAATGAATTTTTGACAACAGCAAACTTTTATCATTAATTTTATTACAGCAATATGCTATATCTATTTTTATTACTGCCAGTGCTATAAACTCCTTTTTAGCTCAGGATGTGTATTGCTAACCACTTGTTAACAGTAACACTTTTTTGCATACTTCATTAATAACAAACTGGGCACTTTCCTTCTTACACTGATTTTATTCTTCTCAATGGGAAGTGGTTGCAAATATCAGTCCATTGGTAAACATATGAATTAAAATGGACAGAAAAAATACTTCTATACCAATACCCAGCTCTAAAGCTGTAGCTTTTTCTGAAAAAAAGGGTTATATAGAATAGTAACTCTCTTTCATGGGCCTTTTTCTCTATGTATTTAAAATTTTATGTGTTCTGTTTTCCTCTTGAAGGCCATGAAGATTGCAAAAGGGAATATGTTTCTATTCCAGCTCATGCATTAGACATATCATCATTAATAAAGTTCATTCTGCACTGTCTTTATTAACAGTACATGCCTAAGCCTGACTAAAACAAAGCTTGATTTTTATGTTGTGTTTGCTACAGTGGTAGTCAGAAAGAATTTTACACTTAGAAAATGAACAGACAAGGAGCCCCAATTTATCATTTTATATAGCATTTCCCACAGGAGGATTATACTCAATAAAATTTCCATTTAATTATCAATATGATTGAGTATTCATAATTTGGATAGTCATTATAGGTATGATTTCATTCCTGATGTTAATGAAAAACTCTATCTAATTTCTGATTATCTGCCTCAAATTGATGAACTTGTCCTTACCTCTCCAGATAATCATGTATGGTACTGATTTTATTCTTATTTGAAAGCTGTATTATGATTTCTGAATAACTGAAGAAAAAACATTAGACTTATTCCTAATGTAATGTTCAAGAGATGCAGCAAAAGTTTCAGCAGTGCTTTTGTGTCTGCTGAAAAAAAAGCAACTCTACATGAATTAATGTTTCCAATCTTGCTGAGGCTTAAAAAGATATTTTTTTTAAGTAACTTTTTTTTAAACTGAAAAATGTGCATAGAATGGACTAGCAGCACCAAGGAAACCAAACTAATTTAAGCTTTTGAAAAAATATATGATGATGGATGACATTTACCTCAGATGAATGAATTTGATAGCTGGCAGGAAACTTGGGATACCCACTTATCTCTTTGAGTACTCAGTAATATATAAAGCAAGGGACAAGGAAGATCACAGAAGCAGAGATAGCAGTAGTCAACCATATCCTTTCTTGCTTTTATTCACATAATATCATATTGTTTCTGGTAGTGCAAACACAGTTTCCTGATTTAAAGTAGCTGTAGATGAGAACTGCAAAGGCAAGGTCCTGTTTCCTTATGCATGTGTAAAATAAAACCAAAGAAAGAGATTTGGATTAATTGAGTCTAACTGTTGAATTTGAAGTATTTGGTTTGGACTAGTTTGGATTAATTGGATTGTCTCTAATTTAAAAGTAAATTATCTGTACTGCTTTTCTTCTCCTATAGTACTTTGAGATCAAATAGCCATAGGAATTTTAAGTGGGAGTAAGTTTGTCGTTGTGTTTTATTTTGTCTTTCCATTGTTGCTTACAAATCATTTCCAAGGTAATACAGGTAAACCAATGTCTAAGTTCACTCTTACTTTGGTTCTGATTCTGTTTTTCAAATAGCATTTTGACAAATGTGCTTCACTGTATCTTTACAGCTGCAGTTTGCGATGGAAAATTTCTGTTGACTGATTCCTCTGGGTTTTTTCACTCTATGAATTACCCAAAACCATATAATTCAAACATCATTTGCCAATGGATTATACTGTAAGCTATCTTCCTATAATTTTCTACCTTGCTTTTTTATTATGAAGTGATATTGTTTCCTGCACATCAAATTTATGCCATTTGTTTGTATTCTCAAACACCCGGTATGGAAAATATGTAATAAACCCCACAAATATGTCAATAATTTTCCCACATACAAAAATTCTTAGGTATGATTTTGAAAAATCTTGTGTATTGTATACATGCACAAGAATATATTTGTAAGCTCAAAATAAATCACATAATTCAAAATAATTGCAAGATATTTGTTTCAAAGTATTAGAGTAAATGCTAGTCTTTAGATAATGGGTTTATATAATATAACTGTTACTAATAGATGGAATTTTCAAGAATTCCCTTGTTATTTATGGGTATGCTTTTCTGGGAGTTAACAGCACCTTCACTTCTAAGTAATTTAAGAATATGTTTTAAAAGTGCATGAGTATTATTTGACATAATAGCACCAAATGCCTTTTAAGCCTAGGCACAAGAAGTGGAATTGGTTTAATCGAGAATATATACCTACATGAAAAGACAGCTATTTGACTGACACTCTAGATCTACTTCATAGACCAGGGAGAAAAAAGATAGCCACAGTATATGATAAATCTCATTATAATCTCATAAAGTACACATCTAAATTAAGTTAGATGATTGCAAGCTGGAAGCTCCTGAAAACCCCTACAATGACTGCCAATTCAGAAGTTAATGCTTTGAAAGGCAGTAATTCTTATGATGGTTTTGTAACAATGGCTATTCTTTGATTCTGAGAACTATTAGTTTGGTAGAAAAGTTTCAAAGGAGATTAAGGAAATGCCTTTAAAATTGGATAAAATTTGGACTTTTCATTTCCAAGGCTCCTTTGAAAGCACTAGTCTTTGAGTTTGTTCAGGTCTTTCATCTTCAAAAAAAAGCCATGGTTTTCTTTCTGTTGAATACATTTGTTCCTTCTCACCTTCAGCAATACTGTTCACCAATTATTACTGGGTACATTGGGTTTTGAGAAATAGGTGTGTCACAGGAAAAACACAAATATTATTCAGGATATAAGCATGTTCCTCAATTCGTGGTCACAGAATTTAAGCATGCTAATTTGTCTCAATTGTACTACTTCCTTCTAAGATGTTAATTTTGTTTAAAACACTGCTGTAGCTGCATGAAGCATTGTATTACGTAGATAGCTGCACCAGGCATGTAGCTAACAAAAACTTAATTTTGTAAGGAATCGTGCAACTAATATAGTACAAGTGCTGCAAATATGTGTTATTGCAGATCGATCAATGGCAAAAACCTCCATTTGATTTTATTTTCCAGTTATCTGCTTTCAAAAAAAATCTGGCAACAATGACAGTAAAAGCATAAAAAATTCCATGTGGCGCTCAAATTTTGTCTCACTTTTAAACAGAATTGTTTCTATGGGGGAACTTTTGGGTTTTTCCATTAAGAAATAGGAGAGATTTTGTCCCATTATTTTTATTATCCCTATAAAAGTGTGTTTGTATTAAGAGTCATCCTACATTACATCCAAGATTTTCTCTTGTTCCTTTCTTTGTCTAGAAGGATTTCCCCATTACCTTTAGGAAAAGCTTGTATATTTTCATCCCATTTTACGCCTCCCCATATGAAGATGTAATTTCCTCTCCTTTTAAAGGAGCAGTATGCTTAATATTTCCCTGAAACATTAGCTTCCTTTCAACTTTATGTTTTACCCTTTACAAACCACAGATACTGTTTCCCTATAGAGAAATATATAACCAAAAAAAAGGGCAAATACAAATATTCAAATATTTACTTCATGCTCCTGTACTAATCGGTACTGATAAGCACCAGCAGGTTGCTGTTGAAAAGCTACCTTTCACTGGGTCTCTCAATTCCGGAAAACAAGAAGTCATGGTATAGGAAGCTAAATGGAAATGGACTGTGATGACAGAGTTTTAGAATTTGGACTACCATATATGCTTATTGGAAAGTCAATGGGAGAGCTGCTTAAATATAGCTTATGGAAAGAACATAGTATCAGCAAAATAAACCCATCATATTTTTATACTTCGGTTAAAGTGACTTTTGTTATTAAACTTATTGGGTGATGGTTAAGTTTGATAATATATTCCCAAACAGTGGGTTTGAGATCTTCAAATCTTCATGCAAATCCTTGTTTTGTTATGAGAAATATTATTTTGTACTTTCAGGAGAGAGATTTTAATTTGTTGTTGTTCTTATTGATACCATGATATAAATTCTCTGACCTTAGGAAGTCTACCTGAGCAGTGAGATGTGATCTATTAGTAATGTATTAAAAAGTAACTGTAGATTAATGAAATGCAGAAGGGGGGAAAAAAAACAACCCTAAAAAAAAAACCCAAACATAAAAAGCTGGCTGTTCAGATGAATATCTCATTCTAGAGTTTAGAAGATTCAGTTCCCAATATGCAGTTAACTACAGTAAGTAAAGGAGTACTTATAATGTTACCAAAAATTTATGCCCCATTCCTTTGGTAATTTTACAAACTAGAAATTAACCAAATAGGTTAGTAATCTTGGTTAATGTAATTTCACATCATTTCTGAATTTAACATCATTGAATCGCACAATTAGCTTACTGCAGTCAAAGAAAAAAATAAATATTAATAGAACATGAATTTCAGTTTTGAGGTTTATTTTTCTCTTGTTATCTTAGGGTGCCTCAAGGGCTATCCATTAAACTGAACTTCACTTCCTTTGAAACACAAAAATATGCAGACAATTTAAATATTTTTGAAGGTATAGGACAAAACAAGATTTTAAGAGGTAAGGTTATTTTTGAGCTAATACTCATTTTCCATTAATAAAATCTAAGTGGTAAAATAAGCATTTTGAAGTGAAAAAAAAACGGCATGCGTAGGTTTAAATAGAAGAATGCATCTGCGTAAAGTTACCCTGTTAGGCAATTGATCTCAGTATACATATCTGGATACTTTGTATACATTTAGTATACATCTAGTATATATTTAGTATACATTTCATGTACATCTAGTATGCATTTAGTATACATTTAGTATACAAAGTGACCAGATAAGTGATTCCGTAATATATTAAGAAATCTGCTTGGGTTTAAATCTTATTTAAACAATTTTATAACTTGATCAGAGCCATGGTCTTGTGGTGTCCATTTTTCGTGGGAAGTATATTGCCAGAAGAACATGTAACATCACACACAGTAACATAAAATGAAAGCATCTATACTGAAATGGGAGTACTATGATACTCCTTGAAATTCATTACAAGCATAACATAACAAAATTATGTGATCAGTCCTGTGATTCTAGAGTTTCAGAGTGCATACCTGTAAATTTTGAAAACTTTTACAGCATAATAAGTATGGATATGAAATTTGTAGTATTGAATATGTGTACTGTAAGAGCTATGAGAGATGGGATATGCAGAATACTTATATGGTAGCCAAACAACTAAATGCCTTCAGAGTTCTGAAGGTACTGTAGGCAGGATCACAGTAGAAGAGGGAAAGCATTCTTTAAGACTCAAAAAGCTAATCCACTATATTTTTATGACAGCACTGGGGATTTTAATGTGCATAGGATTGTTTTCTCTCTGACTATATGATTATTTATTTGTCCTCAGCTTCTCTGTCAGGGACTAATCCTGAGACAATTTACATTTTTTCTCATGAGGCTACAGCACAGTTCATATCAGATTATTCTGAAAATTACAGCGGCTTTAATGCAACATACTCTACATTTAATGCAAATGAACTAAACAGTAAGTGTTCTTTTTTTTTATGGTTTTACACTTCAGTGTGTGTGTGCTATTTTTATCCCGAGAGCCTGGTGAAAGTGTATTTTTAGTTTGACAAAGTGGAGATGAAAAGGGAAGCAGTATTTTCCGGCCTTAGTCTACTAATTAGATCCAATTTGTGAAATTTCATCCTATTTTAAAGATAAAATTGTTGATTTCAGTCCGCAGTTTTACAGGCCTGTATCTAGCAGTAGGGTGATGCCTTACAAAGTTAATTGGGCCATATCTCCATCAGATTCTTCTCAGCTACTTTGTTCACTAATGAACACTGTTGGATCACTGACACTGATCATTATTCTGTTATCACCTGACAGTACCTGCTCACCAGGGTTTCTGATGGCCTGAATTGTTGCCACGAGTAGTAGTTCCAAAAGGTAAAATTAACATTCAGGAAAATTCCTGCTTCAGTAAATGGGCACTGGAAATAAGTCCACATGCAATAAATCTACAGTGACAACCAAAAAAAAAAACAACGTGACTCATGAATTAGTGTTTTTTGGTAGTTGAGGAAAAATTTACATGCAGATTGGAGAAGTGAAGGCTTCTTCAGCTGCTAGATTTTGAGCAGGATGTGAATAGGGGATGTGACTGGGAAGGGATATGATTCAGGAAATATCCAGAGTGCCAGCAAGCTCTTGTCATGTGGAAGCCCTTACTGGGAGCAGACCAGCTCTCCAGGGCACCATGAAAAGACATTGAGCAAAATATCATGACAAGTAAAGTGATTAGGATGTTGCAGTAAATACATGTGAGCAAAGAAGGAGTAAAGGAGAAGGACATGGAGAGGAGCATCCCTGGTACATAGAACACAGCACTCATGTGAGCACTTGGCTCTGGTGGTGGGTCCTTTCAGCTGAAGCAATCCAGGCCTTGGCAAAGAAAAGAGGAAAAGGACAGGGTTAGCCTTTTGTGTTAACTAAGCAAAGGGTCCTCGCGTTCCCACAACACACTACTGGTGAAGGATCAAAAAAGAAGGTTGATGAATGAATGCAAGAGCATGTAGAGCCACCTTCAGCAATAGTGCTTTGTTAACAAGTACGAATGGCAAATTTATTTGAGTAATTATGTTGCATTGAGTAGACAAAACTGAGTCACTGCTCCAGTTTTCAAACAGATTTAAAAATACTTGTCACCTTGCATAATTCTGTGAAAATACTTCACATCTCTGTCATTTTTATTTACTAGAGGTTCTTTTTCCCAGATTATGAGAAAATCAATTGCACTTTTGAAGAAAGCTTTTGTTATTGGATACAAGATTTAGATGATGATTCAGACTGGGAAAGAATTCAGGGTCCTACTTTTCCCCCTATGAGTGGTCCTGATTTTGATCATACATTTGGCAACATGTCAGGTAAGATCAAATACAAGTTGCTTGCAGGTAAAAAGGAAAAGCTTGATTTAGCTTATGTTATATCACTATACAATGGATTTTTCATAGTGGTATTATCAAGATGTAATTTTATTCTGCCATAAAAGTGAGTCAGGACCACCAGACAAAATATTTTATGCTGCTGGTTGCCATCTTGTGGAAATGTACCAAAATTAAAAGAAGAAATAAAGAAATATATAAAGGGATTAAAGTGTGAAGTATTGAAAATTGTCAATCTTAACAGTATGACAAAGTGCCTCATCTGAGAAAGGGATTTCTGTTATGTAACAGTTTTATAGGTCAAATAACTGCATGTTTACCTTAAGGAAAAAAGCATAGTTACCTTCAAGGGAAATCACTTCTATTTCATCCCTGTCTACAGGTGACAACCTCATGGTTGTCACAAAATAATTGTGATCTAACAGAAAGTTGACCTTCAGGGTACAGAGGGCACTTGTGTCCCCAGTTAGAATTGCACACCAAACGCAATAATTTAAAACACATACAAAAAAAATTAAATTATTCATTTAATAAATTATTTGATTAAAATATTAAATTATTTTAAAATAATTTAAAACATGTATAAAAAACGCAAACACTCCAGCAACTGCCATAGTGAAACAGCTTCATTGTAAGTGATCATATCAAACATGTGCTTTACTTAGAGACATACTGATGATATGAATCAGATTTCATATAATGACTATATGTGTATCATGACTGCTTATCCCAGAATTAGACTCCAAAAGTTTTTTTCTGCTTCAAAACGAAACCCAGTCTGTCTCAGCTGATTTGTCAGTCCAGCTAAAACTAATTAAATTAATTTGGCTCTTGCAATGGCTATATGTATTCTATGCAAGAACGCATACTTTCTAAGTCAGCACATGAAGTGAAAGGCCAGATTCAGGTTTCAGACTAATTGTCAGGTACTTTAACATCCCACATGAAAAAGCTAGCTAATCTAGAAGTATAAATTACAGAATAGAGTATATATAATTTAAATTATATCATTGCATTTATTTTTAGATTCTGTAAATATAATATTTGCATATGTTATGTGGTAGACCAATCAAAAGATCTATAGGATAAAATCTAAGATTAAATCCATGATGTCAATAAAGCAAGGATTTTATTTTAGGACTTTTAACTCTGCCTAATTTTGCTTTTCCTGTGACAAATCATCATGCTTCTGTAGCTTGGAGTCACATTATATTTCCATATGGCAGCAGAAGTCCAAATTCCCAGCTGCAAGGAATTAACTCAGAAAAAAACTAAAATCCCAATTTTCTTGTTTAAAATGCTTCACCTTGGTATGATATATTCATGTAGTCATTCTCTCACCCCCTCAATATGCAACCCATATTTTGCATGAAAAATTGTATGTGTAAAAAAAAATTATAAAAATGCCAGGAAATTCTTCTGTAAAATCACAAGCAATGCAAACTGGGAGACATTTTTATAAACTAAATAGAAATTGCTCGTGTGAATTGCTGCCTTCACTAAATAAAAGCCGGATCTCTCACTGACTTTAAAAAGACTAGTTTCCCATTTCATGTCTAGTTCTGTGGAGTGTCCAACAAGCTTAAAAGCTCATTTTAATCTGTCATTGACTGATGAATATAACTGGTGATAAACATTCACATTTATTGTGTCAGAAATCTTCCAAGTCATGGAACACTACTTGTGCTTGATTTGTAAAATGTAAAAACTCTCATTAAAAAAAAAAAGTCTGTAATTCTGACTAAAATGTCCTCATTATCTTGCAGGATTTTATATTTCAACACCCATAGGACATACATTCAGAGAAGAGAGAGTCCAAATTCTGAGTCTGCCTTTGAATTCTTCAGATTTATCTTGTCTAAGCTTTTGGTATTCCTACATAATATCTAAATATATACTTTGCTTAAAAATAAAACCAAATAGCTTTCTTCATATATATTATTAAGCCAAATCAGTGTGCCAGGAATACACACCTGTTTCTGTTTGGATTTCCGTGGTCAGTCTCAACTCCAGGCCTGCAACTTTGACTCCTTTATAGGTTTGATTCTTGCAGTTAATTTTAATATGTTTTCTTTTTCACCCTGGATCAAATATTCACTTCTATACAGAAATTACATTAAGAATCCCTGAAATATTTCTTGTCATGAAGCTTATCGAGGCCTCTGCAGAAAATATAGCTAGTACCAAGTAAAACTTCCAGGTATAATCTAAACATATGATTAATTTTATTTTCATGCTAACTACAAATTTGTCCTAATTCCATAAAACCATTTATAAGAAGCTTGATGTTTTTTTTCATGAAAACTCACTTTGTTCTAATAACACCAAAATTACCTCTATCCTTCTAGGTATTTCATGTATGGTGCTAATGTTTATTGTTTAAGAGTGAGCATAAGTAATGTGCATGGTTTGGAAAAGATCATTTTCGAGAAAAAAGGAAACTATGGGAAAAACTGGAATTATGGACAAATAACTTTAAATGAATCATCTGATTTTAAGGTTTGTAATATTACTAGTTCTTTTTAAAATTTATTTTAGCTAAACTGATATCAGAATTTTCTGCCAAATTAACCCAATAATCCACAGCTCCAAAGAGAGTATCAAGTACTATTTACTAATACATGCTAGCATGCAGAAGACTAGAGTCCCCATTAGAGTTGCCATCCCCCCTCCTTCTTCACTACTCTGGAATTTGAAGTATTACTTTTCTGGAAAACAGAAAACCTTAACGTCATGGGACAATCAGTGTTATCACAACAGAGAGCTTTCCACAAAACAAGGGTGTTTAAAACCTATCAAAATCTGAAGTGGAGGTTATAATCTCAATAGTGAATGTGATGTGAAGCATTTAGGCATGAGAATATTTAAATTAAATGACTTCAGAATCTGAAGCAGTACTTTCACTAATTAATTGGAGAATCACACGCTGAAAGCGTGTTCCAGATGAAAATGTATCTGGCGCTGCATGGTTAACAACCAACCTGATCTATCTGTAAACAAAAAGGAGGAGACTTCTGCTAGATAATTCCTTCAGCAACTCTCTATTGAAAACAATTTCTTTTTATAGGTATTTGGGATGGCTTGCCTTGCTATAGTAGTTTTGATTGATGCAAAAGCGCTGCCAGAAAGAGGCATTTACTATCTGAGAAAGTAAATGCATCTGTGACCTGGCTGCACCGGATTTCTAGCAAATGTGTGTTTTATGATCTCAGGAAGAGTACTGTACCTAGCTGTATTTCACCAGCACAAATTCCTTGGTAGCAGGGTTACTTTAGATCTGTAGATATTAACAAATGAGATCAATTTCAATTTTTCACGGAGATATGCCATTGGATCAGAAGTTTGGACTGACGGCTGATACAGAGTTTGCATTTCAAAAATTGCATATATTTATATATAAAAAGTAAAGTTACTGAGTCATGTTATCATTTATATGAAGAGTTCCTGCAGTCTTAAGAAATATCTACTCGGTTGGCATGGTGCTGGATTTTTTTTTGCAAGGAATTCTATTTTCTCCTTGATGCCCTTCTTTGCGTGATGCACCAGTGTAGGTTACAGTGGAAATAAGAGCAATCAAGAAAAACAAAATGATTCAGCATAGGAAGGTCAAAAATGTTTAATTAAAATATAAAATTCTATTTTTTTTTCAGGTTATTTTTGATGCCTTTAAAAGACCTGGTCTCAGTGATATTGCCGTGGATGACATTGGCCTGACAAAGGGGAAGTGTAATGACAGTATTTATGTAGAGCCAACTGTGATTCCGTCTATTACTGCCGTCCCTTCAGGTCCTAGTAAGTAAACACTAAATTACAGTTAGTTGACTGCCATTTCCTATTAGTATTTTGGTATGAGCGATTCAGAATTTTCTACCTTCAGTTTTATAAAAATCTCTCTTCAGCATTATAAAATTATCTTCAGGATAACAAACTTGGGGTCAGATTCTCTGCCTATAACTTTGTTGATAGTAACAGGTCTGGTAGATTCACAGCTTAAGCTATTATCAGTACAGTATCTTCCAAAACTTGAAGCCTGGAGAATAATGAAATAATTAAAAAAATGCCTCTAAAAACTTTAATTAGTAAAGCTGCCAGAAAGCCACTGAAGGGAAAGGAAGACGAAAAAGAAGGAAGATTATAACCTCTCTATTTGAATGATAAGCAATGTAGCAGGATAACAAGAGAATGAGCAAAGTCACATGAAAATATCACTAGAGGTCTTGATTCACCAAGGTCTGAGAACACACGCACACTGAAAACTCCCAGATTTAGGGGAATGAGTCTATAAAATAGTGCAAGAATGTTTTAAGAGTGGAGCAAGATCTATGTGAATGTCTAATACCCAAAATGGAGGTATTACCACAATGAATGAGTTCTTTCCAATATATATTTGGCCATATAGTCATTCCTACTGTATCTGATGACATAAAATAAAGCAATATTTGCTTTATAAAAAAATTTAAATAGGGAAACAGAAAGGACACAATGGCAGTTAGTTCTGGTTTTGGAGGAAATGAGTGGACCAAAAAGAAAAACCCCAGAAAACAATCAAGGGACTCTTTCCACTTTCTTATCTAATGAGAGATTTCAATATATGCATAAATTATTGAATCTGTCAAAACCAAAGCCTGATTTCTTCAATTTTGCTTTTGGTAACTACTACTTGTGGTAAGGCAGCAGTGATGAATAAGTGATTGACCTAGTAATAATGGATAGGGCTTTTTTTCTGCTTGATCTCGTTTCATCTCACTACTTTTCACCTCTTCCAAATCCCAGGTTCAGGGAAAGAGAAGGAAATAGGAGGAGAGCTTATTGTGTTTATTCATAGTTGCCATCAGCTCCAAGTCAAGTAGAAATTAATGGAACATGAAATGTTGCTACCTAAAGTGCATATGCACTTCTCCAAACAGGTTATATAGCTTGATCCAGACCCATCAAATTGCAGAGTCATTTAGAGGAAAGCACAGACATGTAAGCTTCCTCAAAACATGCCAGTTTCACGGAGCTAGTTAGCAGAATCTCACTGAGAAAAATATACAAAAATACCTGTTGCCATCATTATACATCTGGAAAATATATCTAAAATGGTGAATAAAAATTGCATACAATGTTAACCAGATCCACACACATTCAAAGCAAAAACTGGTACAAATATAAATAGAACCTGTGGAAAGCATTAAAAGATCCAATAGGGCCTTGTAATTTATGTAAAAGAAGAAGAGATTTCTACAAAATACCTACTCACAGCTGGCTTCAAATAATCAAAACAGAGAGTGAGTATGTTTCAGGATTGCCTCCTATTGGATTTACTGTCACTTACAAAGCACAATTAGTTGCTGTTTTGACAGCATATAGTAAATAAAAATGGTCTAAAATTGAAATAATAGAAAAAGACTGTTTGCATTGTATTTATGTTGAAGTACTGTGTACTAATATTGTCATTCTATCAAATCTATCACCTTTAAATCTACTGCATCAGGACATATAAGAAACCAAAACCTTCTAAATATAAGAGCAAAATTCTGGTTTTGGAGCTCCGTCTTGAGACACGGGAAAGTAGAGTTCAATAAGATGCCTCTGTCAGTAAAATTAAATTTTAATAACACTAGTAATTTCAGTCATAAATCATCAAAGTCAGTTTTGAAATTTAATTGGAATTTTCATAAAAGTAATACAATGCAGAGGTGTTGATATCTGCCACCTCCAGCTGTCTTTCAGGTGCTGCGGGTAAACACCTAGCAAGTTAGCATCAGTCTAATGGTTAGTGGTATTATGACCCTGTGGTAAATAGTTGCTGGGTGCTGCTGTCAAAACACAAGAGAAATGTCACTCAAACTATAGGGCTCTACCCCAAATATGGTGATCAAGTTTTAATATTCAAAATAAGGAAGTGGTCACGTAGCATATAACTCCTTTTCAAGCATATTAGAGAGGATACATACTGTTCTTCTATATGATAGAATAGCTCAGGCTAAGCTGTTGCTGCGGAAAAACTAACTTGTTTTCATAACTTTATTGAGGTGTGCTATCTATATGCTGTCTGTAACCTGCTAAAAAATAGTGAATGTTATCAGTCATCTTCAAAGAAGCATGAAATTACTTTGATGGATGTGGTGCAAGCTTTCTAACACTAATGGTTTCAATACAAACATCATGTCTATAAACAAGAGATGAAAGAATGTGAGCTAAGCCAATTTCTTCTGCTAGACTTAGAGCTTTAGTAAGAGGCACTGGCATCATTCACAGTGCCACAAAAGCTCATTGAAAAGTAAAACCAAATCTTTGGTGGTGCGATAGAGAAGCCGGATTTCCTTTTGTCTTTTGCACAAGACTGTCAGCTTACACTTTCATCTAAAACAAAGACTGCTTTCATCTTCATATTCATTTATAACCTGTCTTTTAACACAAACAACAGTGTGGAAATTACCATGTAGATTACACACTTAAGATGTATATGTCAAAATAAATTAAAATGTTGACCAATACACAGAGGATTTTCTTTATGAATAGGTCATATGTCATTTTCTTCAGTGCTGAGAAAAATTGTCTATTATGCTCAATGATAAACCATTTGTGCTGATTACTATTTGGTTTCTAACAAATGACAGCTATATGAATAACTCCATATAAATTTGAATTTAAAGATCATCAGAAACTATTAAAACATTTTTCCACGCATGAGTAAAATAAATTATTTCTAGTTTTTTGATGTAAGAAAAACAAAAGATCATTATTAATGTGGCTTACATGTGGTCAACACGAGAGCAGATTTCATCATAAATTGCACCTGTTCTTCTATTAAGAAAGTTGTGTATGTTCTGCTCATATTATCAGATTACGCTGACTAGGAGTCATGTTTTTTATGCAGCTTTACAATGGTTGTGTCTATTTGTACATGCAATAACATTCTATAAAAAAAAGCCAATATAATATTTATTTGTTGTTAATTGTATTTACCGATAGTCCTCATTGTGAGCTATAACTGAAACATAATACACTTGTTAATCAGTGTGTGGTTGTTAGCAGTTCCTTTTCCTCACAAGAGTTTGTCTTTTTCTTGCCAGGAGTGATGTGGTGAAATAGAAAGTTCTGTGGCATGGTTGTCATGATGAAGTGATACAGTTCAAATCTTTCTTGTATATATAGGAGCTTCCATGCAGTGAGATTCAATGAGCAAACTCATTAGGACTTGAAGATTATGCGGTCTCCGACCAAGTGGTTCAGATTATGGAACACTGATAAGGCATAATGAAACACAAAATTTCAGCCATAATGTGGGGGCAAGGGGAATTGTTAAAGTTTAGCCAAATTCTGAAAGTTAAAAAAAAAAAAAAATTTTAATTCAAAGAATAAACAAACAACAAAGCAAAATTTAAAACGTAAATTTCTTTCGCCTTAACTCCTAATTCCTGAAGTAGGTGAAGGAGCACTGTTTATTTTTGAATAAAGTAATTGTAAACGAAAGAAGTGGAAAAACACCAAAGTTCATTAAGATGGTACAGCTGAACTAAAAATAAATAACATTTCTCAACATGAAGTTTTGGAATGGGAAGCTGCATATTTTAGATGTAAACTGCCATCTAAACTATATATTGAAAGAGACTATTGAGTAAATAAAGTACAATTAGCTCTCTGTGTGAGTGCATGTATCTGTACATACATATCTACAATAATTGCTTGTAAATACATTTTATTTGTTTTTATGTATAAGTGCATATACATGTTTATGATAAAGATGTCAATAAGAAAATAACAAATAAGTAGTTCTTATTGGAGAAGTTGTTTCAAAGAAAAAGCAAATGGCCACTTTTACCATTTAGAGGGTTTAACTGTAAAAGTTTTTGGGTCCTGATGAAATCAAAATGACAGTATAATGGGTTTTTTGCTATAAAGCTTATTTGCTACGTGACAAAATGTGCTTTATACTTGGCTATCAGGTAATGCTGCAAGAAGATGAATCAGATAATAAGCAAGGCATAAAAGCTAAGTGCATAAATAGGTTATACTGGGGGGGGAACTTTCATCTGTTTCTTTGATATTTTCTAGCTTTTCTATTAATGTAATAGTAAATTATACAGTTGATTATAATTTATTAAAGGATGTATCACATTCTATTATTATATTTTCTGCCATGTGCACAGCAGACCAATAATCACCAAATGAAAGACAGACTGTGTCCTTCCCCTAACTACACGGGGAAGACTTCTCATGGCATGATCATGAATACAGTTGTGCATCTGGGCACTAGCACTTCACAAATAGCAGTATAAGACCTATAGCTGTAACACTGCAGCACTGACTGCATGAGTCAGCAGGTCTTAGACACTGTAACTAATAAGAACAGTGAATTTCTTAGAAACCTTATTTCTTCAATGCTCTGTGTCCTTACCGGAGTGTTGGCTTCTCACAACTCATTGTTTAGGCTCTATATCAATAGCACTGCAACTCTTACCCTTACAGTGATGAAGTTAGCTTGAATACCCTCGTCATAAAATTATTTTCTTCCTATCTTTTTAACAACAGATTGCAAAAATAAGCAATAGGCTAATTATGTTTTTGAAATGTTTTCTTTTACAGCTGACTGTGGAGGGCCGGTTGAACTCTGGGAGCCAAACAGTACTTTCAGCTCTGAAAACTTTCCAAACAATTACCCTAATCAAGCTTCTTGTAAGTCATTCTTCTCCAACTTTTCTGAAAAGAAGTTTAGCTATATAAAAAGTAGGCATACTAAATCTGCTTTCCTAGAGTCAAATGCTGTCAAGCAAAAAAATCTAAGCTATATACAGTGGGACCTTTTAACTGAAAACTCTATGGCTTTTAGCAGAAGTTAAGGAATCATGTTCCAGTTGATTAAAAAGTGATGAAGACCAGCATAATCCTTTGGAATGGGTTCAGACAGGCCAGTTCTGTCATGACTATTATGTCAAATATCTTTATGTCAATGTAGCAACAGACAAGGTGCTGAACATCCCCATTTTACCATTATGCCTCAATATATCTGCCAGGTTAATGTCATCATCTCTTCTGTTAAATAGTTAAGCTTTTCTAGGGCCAAAGAATGTGTGTATACATTTTGCAAAGGATCCTCTCTTTGTAGAGTGTTTCTTAACACACTAGTGAAAAATATTGATGATCAGAGGGCAGGAGCATCTCTCCTATGAAGATAGACTGAGAGAGTTTGGCTTGTTCAACCTGGAGAAGGGAAGGCTCTGGGGAGAAATTATTGCATCCTTTCAGTACCTGGAAGTTAGAGAGGGACTTTATATAAGTACTGATAGGACAAGGGGTAATGGCTTTAAACTGAAAGAGGGTAATTTATATTAAGTATAAAGAGAAATTCTTTACTGTGAGGGTTGCTGCAAGAACTGGCAGATGCCCCATCCCTTGAAGTGCTCGAAGCCAGACTGAATGGGGCCTGGAGCAATCTGGTCCAGTGGAAAGTACCTCTGCCCATAGCAGGGGGGGGCTGGAGCTAGACAGTCTTTAAGGTCCCTTTCAACCCCAACCATTCTATGATTCTATGGCTCTAAGAAAGACATCATTACTGTACTAATGCTACTTGATATAGATTAAGCTACATCTGGCAAAAATGAAAATGTTACAAGGTTGTACACTCTGTGCTGTTGATGGATAAAACAAGGAACAGAACTCTGTCATTACTTGTTAATGAAATATTAATTATTTATTGCTTCACCTTTCACTAGAGAACTGTGTTGTGCTGCTAATCACAAAGGCTGTAATTTCGTGTTTCTGTCTCATTTGAGTTATAGCTCTCATTTCCAGGTATTAATTTCACAAGTTCCCAGATGAGATTCCTACTACTGAGAAAATGTTTTTCATTCCCTGAACAGATTATAAAACAATTGGGTTTGATTTCTTTTTCTTTTCTTTCTTTTTTTTTTTCTTACTTTCTTTAGAAGATTTTGATAGCATCCACACTTACATAGATTAAATATTGTAAAGCATAGGCTAAACAGAAGGAAACACTTCTACTCTAAAAAAGACATCTAACTTGAAAGGCAGGCTTCTGTGACTGATTGATTATAGATATTATCTTACTATCAAATAAGTCTTTAGTGTCAAGACTGTCACATTTTCACAGTTACAAAAGAGTTAGCTTTGCTGCTTTAGGGAAACTCACAGTTGTAATGAATGGTAAAAAAATGCATGTGTGTGTCTTAAGAGCCTAAATCCAGTTTTCAAAAGTGTTTTAGAGATGAGAGTCAATCGAATTTTGGGTCTTGACAGCATAAGTTGCTTTTAAAGATAAGATTTAGTCTTCTAAATCTCTTGGGTGATCTTAATAATTTAACAGAGTTGTGTTTTTCCCCCAAATCCTTCAACCAGAAGGATTTGTAAATGCAACGCTGAAAAGGTGATTTTTTGTGTGTGTGTTATTATTTTCTAGGTGTGTGGTATTTAAATGCTGAAAATGGAAAAAACATTCAACTTCATTTTCAGTTTTTTGATCTGGAAAATATTTATGATGTAGTTGAAGTCAGAGATGGCAGAGGACCAACGTCCTTACTTTTGGGCAAGTAGCAGCATAGCATACAAAATTAATATAATCAGACAGCTGGAGCAAACTGTAGGATATAACATAAAGGAAAGTAACTCTCTAATTTTATTCAATATTTCTTTATATTTTGGGATCTCAGAAATTAGGAGGAAAACCTGAGAAAGCATACTCTATGTGACATCATATTTCCTAAGTGTTTGCACACACTTAGCTTTCTATGCAATCCAAACAAAATTAACTTCTTGATAAATAAGCCTGCTCATTTGTGTGGACAAACAGAAGCATAATCTCTTAGTTGAACCTTATTTTTCTATAATGATATGTCAAATTTGGGATTGAGCTTTGATCATTGCAGTCTGATAGCAGTTGTGTTTTGGGGAATAACTATTCATGTAGTAGCAGTATTTCCTTTTGAACCCAAAACACTTTGAAATACATAAGAACAAAAGTAGCTTAAATATATCCATGTTCTCCTGGAGAAAAGCTGTATATACAGGACAAGACCCACGGCCAGATGTTTTCTCTACAACAAATCAGATGACAGTAATCCTCCTTACGGACAAATCTACAACGAAGAAGGGATTTCTTGCAAATTTTACTACTGGCTACCATCTAGGTAAGCATATGAACCCATGTATTTAAGAGGTTACACTGCTGTTCAAAGACATTTGAGAAAAATTGGAGAGTGGAAGTTGACCCTCAGTCCTTTGTCAACAGAAATATGGAAAAGTTAAAGAGAAAAAGCCTGGTAGTTACCCATCTGTAATTTGTTTTCTAGCATGAAAAGTGATGTTTTTGTTTCTTTATTGTAACTGGACCAGTGTTGGTATCCTACGAAAAACTGTGTAATATTATGTGAAAAATTGACTCACTATTTTGACCAAAAGATATTCAAATGTTTAGAATGCAAATACAAACTGTTCGTTATACAAGCCCCAGAAAAGAAGATCACTTTGTGACTCACTTGAGGATGTTACTAATGTGTTTTTAAATGCATTTGTGAAATATTTATTATCAATTACATCCACTAGAAAAGAAAAATGTATATGTAACTCTGATTAATGTTTGAAGTACAGTCCTCCTTGCACCTTCAAAATTTGGTCCTCAGCTTGTGAAGGATCTCAGAAGAGTTAGACTTTTAAATATTTGGATAGCAGTGTTTCTAGTCCCAGCCAGTCCCCTTCTAAAAGGCTCAGGTTTTGTTGGAGACTGCAATTAGATTTGACACATATATAAGTAATACGGCAATCAGCTCTCCAAAAACTTGCAAAATGAAGCCAAACGCTAAAGTACATGGAACAGCAATATGCTTACCAGGACAAATACTTACACTAACTCTATTGCAAATCTTGTTGGAATTATTTAAAAGCTTTGTATTACCTCTATGGAAGTCTGACAACAGAAAAAAATAAAAGAAAGAAAAAGCAGTATGTATTGAGAGATATATGAAATACCATTAGTTTACATGAACAGAAAGTCAACAAGAATCTACACTCTCTTTCGTACTTTAAACATCATAAAGGCAAGTGGCTCCCAGCATGTTTAGCCAGCTGCGTCTTTTGTATGGATTAACAACAGTATTTTTCTTAATCTTAAAAATAAAAATATTAACTATTGATTTATCTTTGTAAAATCAACTACATTTAATCCTGCCGTGAAAGACTGAGAGGTAGATTTATACAGACATAAGACCATTTTGCTGCTTCTTATTCCGCCTTCTTATCACATATGCACAGTCCAATGCTATGCCTTTTTTTAGCTGGTTCAGCATATTTGCTGAGCCAGCTTTGCCCATATTTTGTTGTGAAACAAAAATTAAACTTAAGGCAGAGTTCTCCAAGTGGCTGTTGCCAGTTCTTCTTAAATATATTAAGAAGTTCCATTTGCAAAAGAATGATGCTTATTCATGATCTTTTCAGCCAAAGGACAGAGACTATTATCATTAGCATGAAGGCCCAAGGGTAAAAGGATTGTCAGTAAATAAAGTAATTTTGAAAAGAAAGGCAGATTTTTCCTCATATTTTAATTTTCTATGAAATATTGATTTTTTTTAAAAGGAAGCATAATTTGAACATTAATAGTCTTTGGCAGTATGCAATATAATAAAAAAAAACTGACCAATAAATTCTATGAAAAATCTGGCATCAGTTATGACCACTGAATATTGTGAAGGCCTGGTTAAGGCCTGATTAAGGCCTTTTATAACCATATCATTTTGCTTCCATATTGTACAACAGGCCATACTGACTGATGAATGAATCATTTTAGATTAATACTAAAAATTCAGAAGCAAAACAATTACCTTGCCTTAAATAAGATTTCTAGATGATTAAATGTTTCAGTTAGTAAGTCCAGGAAGGAAAATAAAGAAAATAAACAATTTTTCAACACAATTTAAGTTTATGACTGTGGATTTCCTGTAAATGTGTGCAATGGAGCCATTAAAAATACACTTTGGCCTTGGAAAAATATAACTTTATTTTTACTCACTGTTTGATCTGCTTTTGTTATATAACTGATACTGAAGTAGCTTAATCCTACTTTTGTGGATGCTTTTCTCATTCATTCCTGTTACTTTTGTCTCTTCCACCTTTCTTCCCAGGCACATTCTGAAAGATGATACATGGTTTCAGTGCCTCTTGTATGTTTGACTTAATATACTTTAAGGTCTCTAAACCCTAGTGAAAGTACTCAACATCTGAAACTTGAAATCGTTTGTCACTTTTGACAAGATTTGGCCAGGATTTGATTTTTCTCATCCCTCCAAAGTTTATTACATGTAACCGAAGAACATTAGTGATGGAGCAATATTAACTAAACCAGATGCTACAAAGTATAATGCAATAGATTCTATTCTTAATTAGCTTCTATTTATCTCAAAATAATCTTTATTTTGAAAAAGAGATGGATAAGAAAGGAAACCAAAGGTTCTGTGTACTCAACTTTTCTTTCAGGTGAACCATATGATCTCCAATGAACATCAACCGTTTTTGTAATTATCAATTAAATTTCCTTTCTTGTTTTCTTTCAGGAGCTTGTGCAATTAACGAGCATCAGTGTGGCAGTGGGGATTGTATACCATTGCATAACCTTTGTGACAACCTACCTCAGTGTGAAGATGGCTCTGATGAAGCAAAGTGCAGTAAGGTTTCTTTCAAAGAGAAGGAGTGCATGTGTATTTGGTAGGAATTATGCAGGAAAACAGCCACAAAACCTCAGATAGTGTAAACTACTGCCGCTGCATGCAGACCATGCCAGTTTACACAGTAGTAGCTTATTGAGTTTGTCAGGACCAAAAAAACAAGGTTGCTTTTCTGAGAGTGTATGTAAGCTGATGAAGATGTCTGGAAAAGGTAGGAAGTTCTCTGTCCTTAAAACTGTGTCTGCTTATAACAGCCCAAAATGAAATGAAAACTCATGACATGTTTTCCTCCTGTATTCATTTTTATTCCCAAATTCTATCACTTTTTGCTGTAATTAATTTGAGTTTCAAAGCAGTATAAATTCTGCAGTGAAGTTCTATTCCTTGATGGAAATTCCCAGACAGTCTTGTGAGTGTGAAGCCAAACTACAGCACATGGCACCCTCCAGCCTGCATAGACTTCATCTTGTGGAAACACTGACATAGGTTGAAAGGATGGTATGGCTGCAAAAGCACCATCCATTGTAGGTGTGCATATTGCTACAAGCAGACAAATGGATGCTGCTGCTTAGTCCCCATGTAAAACTGTTATTTCCAAAATGTAGAGGTACAATGAGTATGTGACCTCATATCGCATAACATGGAAGTTGCATTCTCTCAACAATAAGTTAAATGTAAAACTGACATTAAAAGCATGTTGGGCCTAGCACAGAAATTAAATTGATGTTTCTGACAATGTGGTGGTTCTGGCAATTTATTATGGAGCAGTAAGTGGGCTTTTTACCTTAGTACAGCACCATCTTCCTTTGTTTCAAAGAGGACTGCTAGGGACCAGATATGTCCTTGGATATATGCTGACAATTCTCATTGAGTTAAACATCTTTTACATGCATATATAAATGTGCATGTAATATGTATATATAAAACCCCATATATTTCTATATATGACCTATATAAATATATGTATACCTATATATATATGTCCAAAGGCACAGATTCACTCTTCACAATAGAGCAATTAGCTATTTTGTTGCAAAGATAGTCTTCCTTTAAAATGCATGGAATAAAATTGACTTCAGATGCTTCTTAAGCAAAGAGAACTTGAATGTTTTTTTTTCCAGGCATTGCTAAAGAAGATATGAACAAGGTAGCCATCACCTAAACTAACATGATGTACATATTCCCAAAGATTTATTTTGCCATAAATTGTCTGTTACTTCATAGCAAATTACCTCACATTAAAGAACTGGGAGAATTGTTTCCAAAACCTCATTTAATTCAAACTCTGGCTGAATCAATCTAAGCCTTAAAATAAAACGAAAATTCAATTAGACATCTTCACATTGAATCTTTTCAGTGTCCAAAAGTCTTGCTCATTTTTCTTAATCCAATTTCAATTTCTTATGAGAAGTGGCAATTTGTACTAGATAAACTGATGTTTTCAAATTCTAAATCTTCTGAAACTTCCCAGGAACTGCAAAGAAAATTATAGGATACCTTTTCCCTTGCAAAATTCTCAAAATATATGGCATTTGAATGAAGCAGTTGTTGAGTGCTAAATAACTCTCTTACTCCTTACTAACAATGTATTTGGAGGACATGGATCTGATGAGGAGAAAAGGAATTATAGTTCAAGCGGAAGAAGAGAGAACGGGTGTCAAAAGAAATTTGGAGAATTCTTGTAGCATAGAGATTTTGAAGACTGCTCAAAAATTTCTTACGACTGAGGGTTACTATTGATTAATCACTATCATCTCTTTCATTCGTGCACTGTGGGTGTCAAAGAGGTATTCCTAACAATCTATTTTTTTTTTCTTTTTTTACTATAGTGGATATGCTTCACATTTTTGTTGAAATATTTTGATGTTAAAAGGTTTTCTGGACAACTGACATTTAACAAATGGTTTTCAGGGAGCTTTTATTGTTTGTGTGTGTGTGTTTTAACTAAAGCTGCAATGAAAAAAGTGAATATTCTCAAAGAAATTGGAACTGGAAAATCCAATTTTTCTGTCAGCTCTGGTTGTAACCTCATTTCCAATCAGTTTTACTAAGCTAAGTTAAAGCTTCGCACAGTATCTGAAAATTACATAGTGCTGGCTAAGAAAAAACATTGGTTAGACTTGATGGAAAATATACTGTTTATTGTCTACTTGTCAGGCATTTGCAAAGTACAGGGTGTGAAACCCTCCTGTGGCAGAAATATAGAAGGAGATAGCAATAACATTTCCTTCCTGTGGGAACACAACATCTTGGAGAGGCTGGGTTTCTTACCATTGTAATGTATTTTAATCTTTTTCTTCTTTTTTTTTTTTTTTTGTTTTTCATATTACATTTCTGCTTGCTTAGGCCAGGAGGAGCAATGGGGGTGTGAAGGGGGGAGGGTCATTTACCAGCCAGCTAAAATGCTTCTGTCCATTTTGGTCTACAGTGAGATTGTTTAATGGTTCTCTAAGCACTGAAGGGCTGCTACAGGCCAGGATTGGGAAGACGTGGCACCTGACATGTGCTGATGGTTGGAATGAAGAGATTTCAGACAGTGTTTGCCTGCTTCTGGGGTTAGGGTGAGTGAAAATATTCATTGTCTTTGTAACTTATTTGCAGGTTTGTTTAGTCTGCATATTGATGTTTTCTTCATCATTTTACTGGCGTCTTTTACCATTCAAGAAAAGGGCAAGTATATTTTTCTGTAGTAAGTGACCTGTTTGGTGTGCTAACAACTTCATAACTATTGCAAACCCTATTTTGATGGCATTCATTAGAGGATTGATGACTCTGAATATGGCAGATTAGGCATGAGGAGATATATATTGGAAAACACTGGGAGACTAATGTGGAGATATTAGTCTTTTGCACTTTACATCATCGTTTACATCTTCACGTGTATGAGAATGACTCAAGAGTAAAGCTGGAGTAAACTGCAACCTTGGCTGTTCTGCCATCTTATTAATATTCATTTTAAGTAAATTCAAGATAATCAGTTGGGTATGCTGCTACTGGGTCCCAAATATGTTTCATAACTATCATTAGACATGAGCTATTGGGAGAGGAATTTGTATTTCTCTTGAGGTGTACTTCAAGGGAGGAGGGAAATATATAACTGAAAATTTACTGCCATCCACAGAATAACAAAGAGCTTTCTGACAGTGCTGATGTTTTTAGGGGATGTCACTCATCCGAGTAATAATCAAATTAAATTCTAAGCTTGTAATTCATTATGCTGGGCTCTGTCCAAAGTAGGATGCCTGCAAATTCCCTTCTGATAATTTAATTGTAGAAATCACAGAATTAGGACTTAGAAAAATATCCAAGTGTTATTTGAAAATACTTTTAATCATTAGATGAATGTGTGCTGACTCATTGTTTTAGATTATTCCCTTTGGGTAGGTACTGCATTTATGTAAATATCAGATACCTGCATGCACAAATCCCTCTTGTAATTTATCTACATAGTGATCTCATTTACACATGCATATAAGAACTAATGACTAAATGTTCTTCTAGTCAACACATTGTCCTTTACAGTGGCCAGTAGCCTTCTTCCTCCGATTCTTTCTCCCCTCTGCCTAATTCTTTTCCCTCTATAACTTCTGGACAGTAGTAATTTTGTAGTCTGCTGGTTTCCTTTCTATTTTTATATTTGATAGGCTTCAGTGAACTTTGTCTCTTATGGTACTTTCTATTACCTTTTAAAAATTACTTATGCTTTTGTCTCCATAGCATTCTGTGGCAATGCATTTTTGTGTGTATCTATAAAATAGATACACTTGTTAAAAAAAAAATATTTCTATTAAGTTTCCTAGTTACTTCTTTTTAATTCAATTTCTCAGTTTATTACATATTTCCATTGTCAAGAGAAAGTATTTTTAAACTGAAATTGCATCATATTGTCATATCCTGGGTGCTACTGTTGTCACTGGTCCTACACTCTGGGATAAAATTCTCATATATACAACTATATAAAACCCCTGTAAGCATCATGCTATTTCTGCCTTCCATGAATCCTCCTGTAGCAGCATATTTATTAATTACTGTGACACAATATTTATTACTAAATTGATGTTTATAATAACAGGTCTCAAGTAGGGTATAGCTCATGCACCTATACTGAATAATTATCTGGAATCATGCTTATTAGAGAAAGAAGCTAAAGTTCATCTAGGACAATTTGCACAATTGCTTATACGTTTGCTAGTCTCATTTACTGTTTAATTCATGAAATGGACTAAAATGATAGGACTTCTGTAATATATCCTGATTGTTTATGTAGCTGGGCTAGAAAGTGCAATGTTCCACTCAGATTCCAATACGTCACACATGTGAATCCTTTTGCCTCCATTTTTCAAATATGTGACTGTCACATTTGTGGTGTGTGCTATACAGGAAGCAAATCTGGAGGTATGCCTATGTGTTCAGCTACAAAATATAGCTGAGGCAAATAATTTACAAATATTCCTAATGAGTCTGGGGTGCCAGGTGCACAAATTGATGCTCTTGAGAAACCTGAAGAAGCTCCTTTGCTCATCGTAGACTTGTAACTGTGTGCAGCTGACAACACTTAAAATCTGAGTATTGTTAGCATCGTTTTTCCTTGAACTGACAAAATAATAACTTGAGCTTTTCAGCATTATACCGGTGTGGTGTGAAACAAGCTTGTCTCTCTGGAACCAGAGCCATCCAGGTGTTTATTGAATTGTACCTGGGAATGGGGGTAGACCTTGCAATTTTGCCATATCCAAAAGTCCAACAAGGACTGAGAGTATAGGCCTTACTCTCAATTCTGCAGTCTATTTTCTTCATGAACTCACAAAATTCTTGAGAATGAAATGAGTTCATTAGAATAAAATGTTTTGCTTGAGATTTCCAGGTCAATTAGATTTTCATGCTCCCCACTTATGTACGGTAAGTAGTAGCTACATGCTAAGCTCCTTGTGGCAGCTCAGAAAATCCTGTCTTTGGCTGTCAGGCCCAGGTTCTCCAGTGTGCTGAGAATAAAACATAGGACCTGAAAGTGATAAGAATGATTCCCAAAAATCTATGCATAATAAAAAAAATTTAAAAAAAATCTAAATTAGGATGGTAATTTATCTGTAGGATAAATTAGCTATGAATTGGAAGGTTTCCTGGTATAATGTGCCATGGAAAATGTAAGCCAGTAATATTCATAAATGTACATACTCTAAGCTTTTCCTGGTAGCATGTTCATGTTTTACATTGACTAAAACTTCTGCTTACTAACATTCTCAAGAAACAACTTGGTGCTTTTTTTCACACATTTGCACTTTTCATAGATCAGTGATTAGACTGGTCTCAGCAAAGTTCCTCATAGTAGAATTTCACTTTACCTACCTGGGTTGGCACTTTACCACTCTCCCAGACCATTTAAAAACTTCCCCGCGGAACCCCAAGGTTCCAGGGTAATCTCTGAAGTACATATTAGTGTTTTACATTGAAAAAAGTCTGTACACTAGACTAGACTGCCCAGACTGTCTATATATGTCTGTATATCTAGAGACAGAATTAAGTGGACTTTGTCATTTCTAGGTTGAGCAATGCTGCAGTAATGGCTTCTCCTGTATGGTGGGTCACACAGATCCCTTAATGCCACAGCAGGGCTACTGAACATCTCCTTTCTCCTATGTCTAGTCTTACTCTTCATACACAGCAGATTTGCAGGCAGATTCTGGACCTCATACTTTACAGGAGAATGAGATGTACTGCACTTGAAGAGAAGGTACTTCGTTGGTAGACAGGTACTCTGTGTATTAAACCTGCACAAATGGTTCTCTTGCTCCTGAGATGTCTGGTTCCAGAGTCAGATGAGAATAGGCTGTTTCTCACCCCCAAAAAAAATTAGTCTGACTGCATTTATAATCCCCCCACACACCCCCCCACACACCCCACCCACCCCCATTTCTTCAAGAGAAAGCAAAGGTTTCTTGGGTGTATGTTCCAAGCTGGTCATATGCAGTATCACAAAGTATATGATGCTGAATGCGCTATAAAGTAAATCTGGGTATGGGTTCTAAGTGTAGGAAAAAAAAAAAATTCTCAGCAATAGTACACAGAATTCTTGCTGTTCAAAAGCAAGTTCTTTCAAAAAACAAATAGTCAAGGAATACCCCCCACTTCAGAAGAAGTTTCTTGTTCAGTAGAAAATATAGTATGCTTGACTTATTCCCAGTTATTTTATTTCAACTGATCCATAACTCTTGAAACTCACTTCTAAGGAAGGTAGTATTTATTCCATTAGATTCTTCTTTATATAAAATATAGCTTAATTTCTTCTCTAGACACAGATGTATAGTATCAATGTAATTGCCCCCTCAAAAAAAAACAAAACTGTGATATTCCAAGGCTCAGCCATTTCTGTTTGTTTTGCATACTGAGTTTTAGCTCCATATATGTAAGAATTGGTACTGCAATAATTTCCCAAATATCTAAAAATATGCATGTATGTATTTTCCTTCCAGGGATGCAAACGTGTCATCTACAGTATTATTCACTGCAGATGGCCCGTTTGTCTACATTGCCAAAGCAACTAACAACAGCCTAATATTTACAAAAAGGTGGGTAGAGTGCGGTTTCTTCCTCATACAAAGAACAACTTAAAGTGTGGTGGCAATCATTTATATACTGATTTCTAGCTCAAGTTTGTCCAAGAGGTATAATGATTCTGTATGAGGTCTGGACCATAAACATACCTAGGTTTTATTCTCTTTCTACTACTGAATTCTGTGTAACATTGGGAAACTCTTTCTTCCCCCCTCCTTTTTTGCCCGTCTATTGTATAATTAAAAGAAGAGAGGTAGTTGCTACATTTTTAGCTAGCATTCAGTACAACCTTATGTGAAGTCTTTATATATTTACTGTGGAAACAATAAATACTGCTATTTAAAAAAAAACATCATTTCTTATCTAGTGATCTCTAAATTATAAATATGTAATATAGTGGGAGAATTAAAATGGAGTGGCATATACCCATAGTTATGTAGTAGTTGTCATACTAGGTACTCTGTTATCAACAGAGGAAAAATAAGCATTCCATCACTGTCACACTCTATAATCCATTGACTTTATTGGATTTAGGACTTGATGTGGATTGCTAAGGTAAGCAATTAACAGACAGGTATCTTTATTTAGACAAATTGGTCCCACTCATAAATGACTTCTGGATGTGTCTCCACCTTTAGAAATGAATCATCATGAAATGAACTTTAGCATACTGTCAATTATATTCTGATCTCTTTCAACCCAAATAACATCTGTAGTTGTCCTGGGTTCAGCAGTAGCAGTCATTTTTCCCCTTCTTGGTAGCTGGTGCAGTGCAGTGTTTTGACTTTCAGCTTGGGAACAGAGCTGATAGGTGATGTTTTGGTTTGGCCAAGGACTTTGTGAGCCTCATGCTCTGCCAGGGAGGAGGGGAAGCCAGGAGGAAGCAGAGACAGGACACCTGACCCAAACTGACCAAAGAGGTATTCCATACCACAGCACGTCATGCCCAGGATGTAACTGGGAGTTAGCCGGAAGGGCTGGGGGTCTGCAGGGTTGGAGGAGGTATCGGTCGGAGCTTGGTCGGGCTTGGGGGGCGAGTTATCGGTCGGCTGGTGGTGAGATGATGTATTCTCTTCCCTTGTTATTTCCTTTATCATTATTATCATTGGTGGTAGCAGTAGTGATTTGTGTTATACCTTAGTTACTAAACTGTTCTTATCTCAACCTGTGGGAGTTGCATTCTTTTTGATTCTCCTCTCCGTCCCTCCGAGAGCAGGGGGAGGGCAAGAAAGGGGGGGAAGTGAGCGAACGAGTTACCTGACTGGGTTTAAACCACGACAGTTCTTTTTGGCGCCCAACGTGGGGCTCGAAGGGTTGAGATAACGACAGATTTGACTGGATTAATAGTCACTCGTCACAATGTTGATTTATTGGCTCTCAGAGTTCTTTCGCTTGATCTCACAGCTTCAGAATGTTGTAACTTACGTAGAGCCGGTATTTGCTGTGTTAGTGTTTATCAAGTATGGGGCCTGGGCTAAGGTTCTTGTCTCACTGTGCTTTATGGCAATGGCTTGTAATACGGGCGGGCTCCAGCAGCAGGGCGGGACGGACGTGGCCTTGGACTTGTACGTGGCCGTCCGGCTGCTCTTCACCGTCCTGGCCCTCGCCCTACTCTCCATCTTCGTGAGGCTGCGGGGAGCCGAGGGGGAGCGGCCTCGGGAGCCGGCGGCAGCCGAAGCGGCCCGGGAGAGCGGCCCCGGGGACCAAGCGGCGGCAGGAGCGGGGCCGGAGGCCGCGAGGGGACGGCTGCCGGTGGAGGAGGTCGGGGCGGTCGAGGAGCAGAAGGAAGGGGCTGCCGAGCAGCGGGAGAAGGCGGCGGAGGAGCCGAGCCCCGCGGAAGAGCCGAGCCCCGCGGCCGAGCCGAGCCCCGCGGAGGAGCCGAGCCCCGCGGCCGAGCCGAGCCCCGCGACGGCCGAGAGCGTTTCCCGGAAGCCGCCCGCCGAGCCCCAGGAGGATGCAGGAGACCACGCAGCATTTCCCAGCAAGGCAGAGGGGGAAGAGCTGGACTCAGGAAAAGAGAAGCTGGCGGTGGGAGAGCCGGCAAGCACAGCAGCTACAGCAGCCCCAGTGACAAGTACAGCAGCATCAGTTGAGAGTTCTGGAGGTTTTGAATGGCCTTTGAGTATCCTTGGGACCTGCTTGCTGATTGTGATGGGGATCAGCATGTTGGCGCACACACAGACTGTGTTCTACCCACGACCATTTTGTCTGATCTCAAAAGTTAAGCAGAGTCAGGTTTGGGTCTTGTCTGGGGTTAGACGAGGATATGGGGGGACCAAGAGGTTTTCCCCAAGGCTGGACAGCCAGGAGTGGCAGGGTGTGTGGGACAGTATGGACAAGTATCTAGTCCACTGGGCCCCTCCAGTGCTTTGGAAGCATCGGAGATGGAAGGCAGCTGTATGGAGTCCCCAGCAACAAGCTGCAGAAACTGCTGAAGGGGACAGTGAATTATTTTAAGCCTGGTGAGCCCATGGCACTTCAGGCCATCAGAGCAGAGATGCAACACAGAGATGGACTCATGATCGAGGGGTGGACTTAGCAATGGATGCTATTGCCCAGGTTATTCACGAGTGTGAACACTGCACACAGTCTCTCCTGCTCTGGAAGACTGTTACAAGAGATGGAGCCTGACGTCATGGACCAGATGGACTCAGCAGCTTTATAGGGACTGGTCCATGCACTAAGTTAAGAGTGCACCAAGAGTGATGGTATATTGAAAATGTGGGATCTGAGCATGACGTGAATGGTATGGAATAAGGGGTGGATAATGTCCTGGGTTCAGCAGTAGCAGTCATTTTTCCCCTTCTTGGTAGCTGGTGCAGTGCAGTGTTTTGACTTTCAGCTTGGGAACAGAGCTGATAGGTGATGTTTTGGTTTGGCCAAGGACTTTGTGAGCCTCATGCTCTGCCAGGGAGGAGGGGAAGCCAGGAGGAAGCAGAGACAGGACACCTGACCCAAACTGACCAAAGAGGTATTCCATACCACAGCACGTCATGCCCAGGATGTAACTGGGAGTTAGCCGGAAGGGCTGGGGGTCTGCAGGGTTGGAGGAGGTATCGGTCGGAGCTTGGTCGGGCTTGGGGGGCTAGTTATCGGTCGGTCGGCTGGTGGTGAGATGATGTATTCTCTTCCCTTGTTATTTCCTTTATCATTATTATCATTGGTGGTAGCAGTAGTGATTTGTGTTATACCTTAGTTACTAAACTGTTCTTATCTCAACCTGTGGGAGTTGCATTCTTTTTGATTCTCCTCTCCGTCCCTCCGAGAGCAGGGGGAGGGCAAGAAAGGGGGGGAAGTGAGCGAACGAGTTACCTGACTGGGTTTAAACCACGACAGTTCTGATTCTGAAGTGTCCTACAGACTTGTAGTTTCTTGTAGATTAAATGAAAATGTAATGTTTGCATGGGATTATATTCTCAGGAAATTCTGGAATTTACCTCCAAAAGCAGAAAGGCTTGCCATCATCAAATTAAAAAGCAAAATATACACAATTACTTCAATTACTGTCTTTCTGCTTATAGGAGGACTTATTATACACATTTTTTCTGGAATCCTACCAAAAGCACTGAGGTAGAAAATTACTGTCTAATTGCTAAAATGCTGAAACCATGTTGAGGATGGAAAGAGTCTGTGTTCTTTCAGGTTTCCTTTATAGACATACCATGTAGTAACTAAGCAGGAGAGAATTCTTAATTTTCTATGCCATGTTTTATCTACAGTAAAAAAAATATTTTTAAAGGGGTACAGTTTATGTTCTTATTATAACCTGTTAATCCTAAACATTTATCATTCTCACTGGTGGTGAAAGTATCTTCAATTAATGGAATATCATTGCAAGCTATTTTTCTTTTCCTCTTGAGTGGATGGCTAAACCAGCATTGCCACAAGAGATCTTAAAAAGTGGTAATGATTTAAAGATGTCTTCTGTAAATATCTATTAAACACTAAAAAGTGATTAATTCAGGAGGAAATAGAATAAGTTCATTTATCTTAGATGTATTTCTGTTGCAAAAATAGGTATCTTCTACCATGTTTCATCTGGACAGCTGGTAGGAATCATTTTACAGGGTGAAACTGTTAGAGATTCACACGCTTTTTGTACATATAATGAATGATAGAAAGATCACACATACTTGATAATTAAGAAACCCCCAAATTCATCAAATTATAAAATGTATTTCTCACATTGTCTTTGGTCTTTATTCAAGTGTAACTATCATTGAATCAAAGGAGGGCACTTATATGATGAAACTTGAAAGCTGTGGTGGCAGAGACAGAAAAACTGCTCTCTGATGTCCTTAGGCAATGTATATCCTTGGCAGAATAGTTTTTTAACAGGGAGAAATCCTGCCTTGCAGATGTATGTGAGCAGATTTCACAGGTATAATTGCTTTTGTCAGTCCTAAGTGAAGATCATACTCTCAGATTTCCCAGCTATACTAGATTTCTGGCCAGCATGCTGCTTCTTAGAGGGCACTCAGAGAGGCATAATTTCTACTAGTCAGTAGGTATTGGTGGTGGGAAAAAGACCCTCAATACATGTGACTCCCTGTTTCCATGTAAAAAGAAATGGGGACAAATCTGACATATTGGATATTGTTTTGGCTAGTTTATGCATCTACCTAAGAGAAAACATAGGATCAGATAAAAAAGCTAATATACAGTACCAACCATTCTTTTAGAGCCTATGGGAGGAGCTTGGTCAAGAGTATTTAGTTCCTATGTTATGCAGAAAATGGTATTGATTTCTTGTGGATTTATGCATTTCTGGTTGTCCTCTTTGACATTTGTCTTGCTACCAAGGGACACCCTTATGAAGTCAATATAGACTCGACTACAAATTGTAATTTGTTAAATTAGTTTAAAATTATGAATCTATCTTGAAGGGGAAAATTGCTATTTGGGACTCTCAGGGCTGGAGGCATATCTCATTCTTATGCTGTTGTAGTGAAGATTTAATTGGGAATGTGGGGCGTGGTTATAGTTTCCAATTGTCCTTCTTGCACCACTATGCGATTGTGAAAATGCTGGGTTACATCATGCATTATAATAAAATTTTACAGCAAACATAATGAGGGATACATAATACCTATAATATCTTCCCATTTTCTATTTAAAAATCATAGAGATGCATATTGTAAATTAGCCATTGGCAGACTTTTTTTTTCCTTTTTGATATATTTCTGTGTATCAGATTTAAATTGCTAGTACACATACTGTCTGAAGTGTTCAGATTCATTACAAGTTATGAAGATAATCTTAAAACCTCTGGGTATCAGAAATGCTTGAGTAGTTTTGATCTGTGGTCTTGCGCTATTCAGACTCTGGCTTTATATCTCTGCTAAATAATTTCTAACCTTTTAAATGCAGCTATATATTTTACACTGCATTATAACCTTAGTAAAGATACAACGATATCAAACTATCCTCTTAAATTCTTTGGTCACACTGATCTCTAGTGGTAAGGTATTAAAAACATCTCAAAATATAGAAAAAATACCATACACAGTTACAATTTAATTGAGAATCTGTCACAGATGACTCACTTCCCTAAAAAGCAAGGGGTGTCTACTTTTATTTTTGTAAAATATACGAATTCAGTATCCATTGAAGAGGAATATGTACATACAGTACAATATATAATGTTGTGTATTTATAATTAAAATATAATTAAAACATGTTGGATAAATATATTTAACAGTTATACTGATAATGTGTTTATATAGAGAAGTGTGTAAGTAGATATATGCTTATAGACATTTATATATAAATGTCTATGTATGTATACTTGACAGTCATATAGTGTTTGTTGGTGTGCAGATATTTGTGATTTAATTGCATTTTCATTCTAGAGAATTCTGTTTGAACAACCAGGTGGTTCATCTGCAATGCAACAATAAACGTAAGTAGACATACCCTGGGAATATTTCACATAGAAATCAAATTGTTCAGTCCATAAAGCCTAATGTTTATAGTTTGAATTGAAAGGTTAGGGAATGGGCTATAAAAGCTATACTCGTAATGATATAAACACAGGAAAATTTAAAGTCTTCACTTGTTTTCAGTGTTAAGTATACACTAGAGATGGTAGTATTCTGAAAACACATATAAAAAATCCAGAAGGTCTGAGGAAAGAACACATCTAAATCCAAGTTATAAAGTTTTATCTTGATTTCAGCTATAAAATCTCAATTTTTTTCCACAGTAACAATATTTTTGAATAGCAGTTTAGATACTACAAAGCCAATTTTCCCAACAATATTAGCTAGTCTAATAAAACATGCTATATCCCCCTAAAAAACTGCATTTTTTTTAATTTATTGATTTTAATTTATTTTTTTTTTTTTAGCTTGCGGAAAACACCTGGTAACTCAGAGCTACAGAACAAGGATTGTAGGTGGAAGTGATGCCAGAAGAGAGGCTTGGCCTTGGATAGTTTCACTCCATTTTAATTCCAGACCTGTTTGTGGAGCTTCCCTTGTCAGTGATGAATGGCTGGTGACAGCAGCACACTGTGTATATGGGTAATGTTCATTGCACTCAGAAGCTAACACATTCTGATACTCCCACAGCATTCAAGTATCCAAGTGGTGGATAGTTGTCAGTAAGGCTGGGTTAAAGTATGACCTGAACCATCAATCAATCCTGTATAGAGCAAAACACCCTTTCAAAAGATCATACTGAAATCACTGTGGTGTGACACCTTTTAAGGCATTTTTCTAGACGTTTACTTTAGCGTGAAATGGTTGTAAATTCACAAGTGCTGCTTTCTCTCCACTGAATCTAGGGCATCTTTCCAACTAGCTGAGACAGACATATGATATCCTTGCCACGTCTTTTTTATTTTAACGATAATGAAACATTTATTTTATGTGCAGGTTCACTAACGAGACATCATATTATGAATAATTTTTGACACCAATATAAAAAATAAACAACTAGCTCACTGTTTAATTACTGGTTTGAATCATTTTTGGGCTCAGCTAAAGGCTTCTTTACTTTTTGGTAAACCCTTAGTCCTTACTTTAAAGCAGAGAATCATGGAAACTAAACAGCAGTGATGAATTGCACTTTAAATATATGGTCTTAATACTGAGCATTTGCACTTAACCCATAATTAATGTGATGTTCCATTAATGAGTTGAATCTCTGCCAGTGGTAGAAAGGATGACATCATATCTTAGAAAGGTAAACTGAGTATTGGCTGTTCCTACTGTACATTATCACAGATTGATAAGATTTACTGTACATGAATCTTGATTTATGTCCATAGGCAATATTGGATATCCTCTAGATGGTGTTATTTGTACTATTCAAAGTGAGAAGTGATGCATATGAAAATATTTTCTAGGGTTTGCTTCCATAACATCTATAATAAAAACAAGTGCTGAGACACCTAGAAAATGGAATGGCAAAAAAAAAAAAAACATTAATATTCAAAATTACAGCTGAATTTTCATTATAAATAACTAAGTAGTAAGGCAGTGGAGACTATGCTGATACATTAATGATGCCTCATTGCGTGACAGGAGCTATATTCCAAGGAGACATATTCCACACAAAGACACTGAAATGAGAAGGATCAGGCCCCTCTTACTTTTTACACAATAAATCCACACCTGTCTTTTTACTTCCTTTTCCCTTAAATCACCTTTCTATTTTCACTTAAATCTTATCATCTTGACTTTACTGGCATTTTCCCAAGTGGGAGCTTGTAGTTTCAGACTTTAATCCTAAGCATTCAACTTAAATGCTAGTAGTTTAGAACAAGATAACCTCTTGGTGTCAAACCAATTCAGTACAACAATCAGGCTGAAAACATATTTTTGGAACTATGAACCAGTTGATTAACAAATAGCAAATAATTAAGTTCTCTAACATAAATGCAGCCTCAAACTAGCATGCATAGTGTAGCAAAAAAATGCAGATTATATCAAATTTTTACTTTTTTATTATTTAGATTAAAAAAATTAAAAGATCAGTTTTCTGAGTCTATGAGCTGCAGCATTCCTAATGACATCTTATGTCTACTATTCTTTGGATATTCCATAATAATTTTCTAACTGGGACCAATATTAATTGCCTGGTGGGCAGTCAGCAATATTTTTCACAGTGTTTAAAAAGACAGAGTAATTTAGTTAATGTATTTTCCTCCTCTGCACTACTGTCTGATTAATTCTTCATACATAATGCATTATAAGCCTAACATAAAAAATTGACCATGTATTTCTAGAGTCTGGATATTTAAGATAGCATTACTATGCCAAAATTTTAAGCACTTCTGCTACATTCTATTTATTTTGACAAAATGTGCAAATGCTATGAATTACCATGAGGTTAAAAATTAGCATTTTACCTAACATATTTTTCAAAACTTTCATTAATCATTCATAATTGTGAATTCCTTGCAACTTCTAGGAGGCAATTAAAACCATCTCAGTGGAAAGCAGTTCTTGGCTTGTATGACCAATCAGATATGACACAGCCTTCAACAGTAGTTCAAAACATTGATCAAATAATTATAAATCCTCATTACACAAGATCTACAAAAGATAGTGATATTGCTCTCATGCACCTGCAATACGAAGTGCAATATACAGGTGAGTTGCTCTTTTCCCATAAAGCAGTTTTACTCTATTATGCAAAACTCTGTGTTAAGCACATGAGGGTGATGGGGTGGTCGTACATTTTTTTACAATCTAATCATTCTGGAGGCAGTCCAGTACTTCCTGGCTATCTTGCCCAAAAAGCAGGCTTGAATTAATGAACATTTTCTTATGTGACTTTATAAAAACCTGAATACAGGGAAAAGGTTGAATTTGATTGCTTGTTTCTTCTTCACAGATTATATACAACCTATCTGCTTACCAGAAAAAAATCAACACTTTTTACCAGGAATTAACTGCTCCATTGCTGGATGGGGTACTATTATGAGTGAAGGTGGGTCATTTGCTTGGAAAATTATGATAGGCATGAAGTCATGAAGGAAAGCTTGCTCCTGATTCCACAGGGGTTGCTAAAGTTAAATAATTTAAAGAGATACTCCCCCATATAAAAATTTGGGAACTATCCCCCTCCACTGCTTCTTCGCCAAAGCAAAATAAATTATAACTTACTTGTTCAAAAATATATACATACCTAAGATAATTGAATCATGAAAAAACCTTATTATATCCCCTTAGAATTTATGATGACAACTTTTCTCAACATGGAATACATACATCTTTTTTCCAGGTATTGGGTGGGGGAGGAGGAAGATTAGTCTTTCTGACAATGTGCAAACAGTTTTCCCCAGAAGCCAAGCACACTGACTGTATTGTGAAATGTATGTTCTGTTTGTATATCATATGCTCCAGATTTGAAGTCTCTGTGAAATAATAAACATGCCATTTCAGTTCCACAGTTACTTGTATGCATTCACTTCTACATTTTCTGAATAAAATTGCATTTAAAATTTTAAAAGTTTAAGTACTCAAAGTGAGAATAATTCAAGCTCCTAAACCCTTTATTATCCCTTATATCTCCCCACAGTGAGTTCATAGTCATTGATTTTAGTAATCTTGATTTAATTATAACCAAATTCAGTCCCATTACACAAGTGAAAGCTAGGATTCAGTTAATGAGCAATGTTCAATCAGTGACTGTGTTACAGGCTTATGAACCTGAATAGTACAGAAGTGAGGCAGTTTCCTGCTGCTCCGTAGCGTGCCCAGCATGCTGGAACAGAAAAAAAGCCGTCAGAATTCTGAGCAGGATGTACGTATTTATTACAGCAGGTAACTGTACTTTGTATTTTCATCAGGTCCCACTTCAGATATGTTGCAAGAAGCAGAGGTCCCTCTCATTTCAAATGAAAAATGCCAACAACAGATGCCAGAATATCATATTACTAGTAATATGATCTGTGCGGGATATGACAAAGGAGGAGTAGATTCTTGTCAGGTAAATACAAGTGACTCATTTCATACTTGCATAGACCTCATTACTGAATAAAATGCTTTCTAATCCTCCAATCATTAAAACCAGGACAATCACTTTTCACCAATGTAATTTCTATTCACAGTATTTTTCCCATTTGATACTCTATCAGGATAAAAGTTGAAAAGGTAAAAAGCAATTTTTGGTCATCTTGACATAAACAGCCTTGGAGGAAGATAAATATGAGGACTGGAAATTTTCTGTACTAAGCTTTCACTAAGCTTTGAATAATTCCTTCTTAGTAATTCCATGAAGAAAAAAAGGACATGCTTAAGGAAAAGCAGAGTACAGAGAAACAAATACCAAATAAACTGAAATCTCAGAAATGTTTCCCGAAGGGAGAGATCAATGATGCCTTTCCCCAGAATCTGTAGACTCTGGAGACCTTGTGTAGGTGGAAGCCACAGTATTTTGGAGAGGTTGCCTTTCTGCATTGTTCTTTTCCTGGGTACCTAGTTTTATCCATTCCAACTCTGGTTACAGCACACTGTTCCCTTTGAGGATTTAGTCAGAGCCGGCTGTCACATAATTCTTCCAACAATATGGAGTCTGTGGCATGGAGACTGGCTGGGTTTCATCAAGTCTAATGAGCTCTCCCATGTAATTGCAACTGCCTTGCCCTCGTGACCTAAGACTTCATCAAGTACAGTGGCTTTGGCTAGTTTAGTCTAGAAGGAGTGTATGCAAGCCCGAATTCACTTGCCATTCATTCAGCCTCTGTGGCTTTCCTCTTTCCTTTTTTCCTTCTGAACCTCATAATAAAAAAAAAAAAAATCAGCTTAGCACACAGGATGACATAGAGTACAAGGGACTAGCATTGTGATCAACGACCGTTCAACCATGAGCAAAGATGAACAAGTCCTAATAGTGCTTCAGCCTTTAGGCTGCTGTCACAGCCTTTGAACATTTGCAGACACCCTAGAGTTACAGGCAGAAGTCTTTTAATGCTCAAGTCTCTGCAGATCTCTCCTATAAAGATCCATTCACAGGGCTATGAAAAGACAGAGATAATACTGGGTAGACAATACCCAACTAACTTGATAGACAACAAAAAAATAGTCGTTGCTTTCCTTCTCATCAAAACAAGACACTCATGGCTACATCACCTGCTCGGGCTGTGGGATGAATCAATTTGGTCTTCCACATTCAATTGCAATGCTACATCTGCTAAACTATTGAGAAGTTCAGCAGATGTCCTTGAGAAAAGGACACCTCCTATTCTGGTAATATTGCAATTTTTTCTCTAAATCTGAAGTTCAGAAAGTCTGGGGTGACCAAGAATATAACTGCATGTTGTCTGAATAGGTTTAATTAAAAAATAATCCTACACATTTACCTAGGCTTTGTGAAAGATGAAAGGCTAAATTTAAAAGTAAGAAGCAGAAAAATAATTTGAAACCCAGACCTGTACTGAAAAACTGGTAAGAGCTTAAGTTCATATTCTTTTAAAAAAAAGGGAAAAAAAGGAAGAAAAAAAAAAAAAAAGAAAAAAGAAAAGAAATCTATTATCTATCTCAAGAATTCTTCCATATGCAAGTATTCATATTGATCTCGCTTCTGGTGCCCAAGACAAACAGGTACACAATGCCTACAATTAAGGATCAACACAAACAAAACAGCATAAACAGGCTGTGCTTCAGAATTCACAGTGTTCACTTTTAACTTCTGAATTTCATATTGCAGGGAGATTCAGGTGGCCCTATGACATCTGAAGATGGGGACAAATGGTTTTTGGTTGGTGTAACATCATTTGGCTACAAGTGTGCACTTTCCAAACGACCAGGAGTGTATGTTCGAGTCACCATGTTTGTGGACTGGATCAAAGACATTATCTATTAGCATGATATTATTAAATGATAAAAACAGAACTTCAAGGTTGAAAATAAGCCATTAGATAACAATGTAAACCAGACTGGCATTTCAACCTTACAGTTAGAGAACCTGAATAAATATTTAAATTTCAGGGAGGAAAACATTACTAATTGAGAACTCCATTACCAATTGAGAGTAATATTCCAAATCAGATGCTATGATTTTGTTAACAAATAGTTTTATCATTTTACTTTTTCTATGAGACCATGAGGAAACAGTTTCTTTGAACATGAGTGTATTAAATGCACAGTGAAGGGCTTTACAAACCATGGGCAGTAAAATAAAAAAAGTTTGTAAACTGCAAATGCTTTGTTGAAAAATCGCCTAGATAGTTAATTCCAGGCCAAACAATACACAGTTTTATGTTTTGCACTGTATTTTTCAATGTATATTTTCATTCCAATGAATAGTCAACTCTTCTCAGTAATCTCACCACTCATCAAAACAAAGGTATGTTATCCGTTTAAACTGGGCTCATGGGATTTCTTCTGTTTTGTCTATTACAAAAAGCTCTGGAATGAGGTTTATGGATTGTACACAAAAACTGATCATATATCATACTGCTTTCTAATGAATAAACTGAATGTAAGCCAAAAGTTCTCTCTTGTGTAATGTGTTGGAATTAATAAGAGTTAAATAAGGATTGAACATAGCTTTTTAGTTTTCTTTTTAAGAAAGTGCTTTGGCAATTATTCAAGCAATTACAGATATGTGCTTGTGTACATCCAAGCAGAGACTCACAATACTGCAACATCCTCTTACAAACAGTAATGTGTTTTAAAAACATCTGACAATAATGAGTACCAGCTATTTCTAGTGAATAAAAGGTAATAGAGTTCCTTCAATATGCTTCTCTGTACTGATGACTTTAAATACTGAGTTTGTGCTTTGTATAAAAACTATCATGATAGCTGAACTATCCAAAAAGGAAAGAATATAATGGAAATGGTTTCATCTTCTTGAGCTCTTTTCTAAATAGGTTTCTATTAAAATATAAACATCTATTTGTTGAAATGCCTTAATGTAATCATGTTTTAATGTTTGTGCAATATGATGCATTTCCTTTATTTCTGTTTTAGAGTAGTGTAGGATATTTAATATATTTTTTATTCCAAAGTACTACATGAAAATACAAAATGCATTCTAACTTAGTGTGTATATGTAACTACAGATATACACATAGACGTATGATTTTTTTGTAAGTACTTAGTAGTACACTAAATGCAGATATGAAGTGCTCAGAACAAAAGGCTAGCTTACAAACACAGGTTGGCAGTCATTGATAAAATAATTAACAAGTCCCAAACTGTTTTCAGGTCTTCATAAGCATTAGAGGACTAGGTCCAGACCAAAATGTTTATCAATACATTTGTGACCACAAGGAAGACAGTTGTAATTAAGCCAGAAAGAAAATAAAAGGTATTTTGGACACCTTCTTTCATATAAACAATGCAGCTTTTAACATTAAAATGTTAAAGCTGTTAATCTTAGCTTTCACAGTGGACTTTCTCCTGTTACTCTCCTTCACTTGAAAAGAGCCACTGAAAATCAAGTGCATTTTGCTATCAGTGTAAATTGATTTGGTGAGGTGCTCCTACCCATGGCAGGGAGGTTGGAACAAGATGATCTTAAGGTCCTTTCCAACACTAACTACACTATGATTCTACGATAAGGCAATTACGTTAAAATGCTTAATTAAAATGTGACATGATTTCTGCATTCTTTACCATACATCACTATTGTAAATTGTGTTTCAGTCTGTTAATGAAATACGAGAGCCAACTCAAAGCAGAACCAGTTACTAGAAAACATGCTTCCCAAAAAGACAGTAATATAATTCTATTTACACATATTTTTGCTTCGCAAAATGCAAAGCATCAATGTATTTTGAGGTATAGATTAATAAACCATCCCATCAGACTAAAAAAATTCCTATTATAAACTGGTATAGAAATTTATATGTAATATAGACTAGTATGACTAAAAATAAATTTTTCATTTCTTCTAACTTATGTCTACATAAAACTAACATAACAATCAACCACATTCTGGCCTTCATTCAGCATCCATGACTTCAGTGGCTTGCATATTAACTTGTGGAGAAACCAGTCATTACTGTGTTGGAACATGAAAATAATCCATGCGGCCCACAAGTCGCTCTTCCAAAATGCTTTGAAAGAGAGGTCAGAAGCTTGATACTGACTTACATTGCTTGCACCCAAAAAGGTTAAAAGATTAAAGAAGGACTCAAGTTGCTCTCTCAAATGCTTCTTGCACAATAGAAAAATAATAAAATTCTCTTCCCATGGGAAGATAGGGGTGGTGGGAGTATAAAGTCTGTAAAATAGCAAAGTGAAGCCATGCCACCAGAGGACTAGCTATGGTTTACTGTTCATCCTTCTGTTCCTTGCCTCACTTACTGCTGTCATTTGGAAGAGATTCAGAGAAGGGAATGTGTTAAAGGGAGTTAATCCTTCAAGACTGTAAAAAAGAGCTAAGTTTTTTACCACAAATGTTCCCAGAAAAGAGGAATCTCTTGCCCTCACTTGACTTAAGCAACACTTAAGTCAGGATAAAACCAGTTCTGGTCTTGGTACAGAATCATAGTATTTTCTCTCTATTTACAATCACTACAAAAGATACTGAAGTAAATTTAAGATGCTTCCAAAAGTGCTTCGGCAATAGCATGAATACCATTAGTATTACTGGTATTGAACTTTACATTTCATTTTTTTTTCTTTACTCAGAGAAATTGATACACATTTGTCTCTGAAGTCAAAGCTGTGATCAGCATCAGCTAGCACAGCTTAGGCAATCCAAAGAGCAATACAGTTTTGCTTCTGTTTGTCTCTCCCCAACTTCCACCCAGTGGTAGTTTTGAATCTCTGTTAATGTAAAACAAGCTGGCTTGAACTTGTGCTTTTGAACTGTTGCTGCAACTGCAGAAAACCTCTTAACTTTCTGCTACAGCACCAGATTGTCACCAACAAATCAGACAGAGTGCTATTGCTGCCACCCCAAAGTCTGCTCCTAATGACTAGTAAAACCTCTCTTATGGCTCAGAAAGCTCTTAAGGAACCAAAGAGAATGGAAGTTAGTAATGTTAATAATAATTCTTAAAACCTTCAGTGCATCAAGGTTACCTGTAAATCTGTCTGTCAATTAACATAATTAACGTTTTTCTAGCTAAGTCTCAGTAATGTTTGGATCAATCTATTAGTACCATGTCCAAGAACATCCATTTGTCTTCTTTGATCCAACTTTACATTATTCCTAACAAACTATTAGCTGTATTTAAATGAACCTTAATGTCTTTTTTACATAGATTTACTCAAACCAGTAATTTTCATCTTAAACTCATGTCCAGTGTGATTTTTCTTTTTTTTTGTAAAAGTAAAAAGCATTTTACTTAAATAACAACTAATGGCTGTCTTCAAAGGACACCTCATTAATGAGGTATCACTTGCCAAGTCATTTATGTTAACCCTGGGCCACTGTGTCAAAAAGTTACAGACATTCCCTGAATTCATTATATGGCATCAAATGACTTTCATGAATCCTTGAATTTTGCCACATCAGATCGTTGTCACAACATGGCTAGCGGCCATGTTAATACTTAATAATTTCTGTGCCTGACACTCAAAAACGGTGCTAAGTGTGTGAATAAATACTAAACAAATATTTTGTATCAAACATTTATGCAAAGATAAATAATTGTTACACTGTAAAATTGTCAGTTCCATTTACAGTACGTCAACTAGGTTACAATGCATGAAAGACTAAAGGAAACAAAGAGGGTTTGTTTAACTACAAACAGTCTTAAAACCAATATACATTGTAGGTATTCCCCCATAAAAACTTCAAACACTCTGTTCATTTCATTACTCACGACTAGCTAACTTACATTTCTTAGCAAAATAAACACATACCCTTCATTTAGCATGGCATATTTTGTTACTGAATTAATAATCAAACATTATATAAAAATGATCTGAACATTTGCCTCAAGGGGGAGCTTACAGTTCATTCTTGTAGATCCTTTGCATTTTCAAGCCATTCCGAGCTAATGTTCTTTGACAATATAATACAGCCTGACTGCAGAATGTTATTTTTGCTTGTTTTCAGTCAGTAAGTCATTATACCTCCATGCTACTGTTCTTCCTAGGCATCTTTGAAATCCATAGTGTGGACTGGTTTGGACTGGTTTTTGTTCTTCCTTTACTGAAAAGGAAAAATATAAAGTCTTTTCAGCGCATGCATGCCTTTGCAGTCCTGATTCAGGTTTGCGATCAGACCTGGGTATTCCACCCCCTATTTGAAGGACATCTTTGTTGCTTTCATTGCATAGGATCCCCATGTGGGAACAACAAAAGGGTCATGCCCATGCTGCACCCAGCATAGCACTATGGTGGTGGGTTGAGGTAAGCAACTATTACCAAAGTTACTAGACCACCCTGCTCAGCTGCACTGCTCCCAGGAACACAACTGACTTGTCACATTTTGGTTTTTCAGTGCATGTTCAACCACACTTACATACATGGTGGTCTTCTCACGAGATGGTTGCAGACACTATTTGACCAGGGTGGTGGAAGGTTGGGCACTTCCCTCATCTGGGGGATGTACATGGGACAGAAGCATGCGAACCAACATCGGATGTGCCAAGGGTGCAGCCCACCCACCCCCAGGGAGCTACAGCAACCCTGCACATTCACATCATGGAGCTGCACGCCATGACTGCAGTACGCTCATGAGTTCCAGTGCATACTGGTACAGCTTCCTTCAGGGCTTGACCTAGCTTCTAATGAAGTAATGGCACATGAATCAGACTTCTGGCAATGAATGACTGGTAGAAAGCTTCCTTAGGCCAGTTTTCATTCAAAACTGTCAATAGTAGTTTCTGTGTTTGTTTGTTTGGGGTTTTTTAATTAAAAAAAAAAAAAGCTTAAACTGTTTACAAAATTACTTGCTCTGCAATACTGCAAGAGTGTTCACTCCAGTCTTTACAGGGAGCCCTGAAGCACCCTGTAAACTGATGCTAGTCTTTCCATATGGCTAGCATTTCTGCTGTGACAGGTACATCACACCCATTCCCCTCACTTAGAGAGGGTAGGTGACAGTGCACTGCAGTCTACTGAAGAGGATCTTTGTGAGCAACTGCAGCTGTATTTTAATCAAAATCTTTTAGTCTCTGGCCAGAATATTTCACAGTGATTTTTTTTTTTCCCCAATTAAATAAAAACCAGAGAAGTAGCTCTACATAATTCTGTAGGATGTAAACCTGAGAGTCAAGATCCCAGCAGTCTTACACATTCAGTTTTACTCCTTTCCCTGGTTGTAAATGGGAGTTGATTTTAAATATACTTTGAGGGAACTGGATAGAACAGTAATTTCTAGTACCCCCAGACTTACCTCTGAAGTCCTATGAAGTAATACATTAAGTACCTGAGCCCATTGGAGTAATTGAAAAAACTCCATTGGTTTCAGTGGACTTTAGATCAGGCCACAATGCTATAAACAAAGCAATTGCAATGAATCAAGTAGTTTCGGCACTTCTTTCTTTATGAAACAATTTCACTACTTCCTTCCAGATCAAT